AGCAATCAAGCAATCCATCAAGCAATCAAGCGCGCAATCAAGCAATCCATCGAGCAATCAAGCAATCAAGCGAACAATCAAGCAATCCATCAAGCAATCAAGCGAGCAATCAAGCAATCCATCAAGCAATCAAGCAATCAAGCAATCCATCAAGCAATCAAGCAATCCATCAAGCAATCAAGCATTCAAGCAATCCATCAAGCAATCAAGCAATCAAGCGAGCAATCAAGCAATCCGTCCAGCAATCAAGTCCATCAGGCAATCAAGCGAGCAATCAAGCAATCCATCAAGCAATCAAGCAATCCGTCAAGCAATCAAGCAATCCATCAAGCAATCAAGCAATCAAGCAATCCATCAAGCAATCAAGCAATCCATCAAGCAATCAAGCGAGCAATCAAGCCGCAATCAAGCAATCAAGCAATCAAGCGAGCAATCAAGCGAGCAATCAAGCGCAATCAAGCAATCAAGCAAAGCAATCCGAGCAATCAAGCCATCAAGCAAATCAAGCAATCAAGCAATCAAATCCATCAAGCAATCAGCGAGCGAGCAATCAAGCAATCAAGCGAGCAATCAAGCAAGCAATCAAGCAATCAATCAAGCAATCAAGCAATCAAGCAATCCATCAAGCAATCAAGCAATCCATCAAGCAATCAAGCATTCAAGCAATCCATCAAGCAATCAAGCAATCAAGCGAGCAATCAAGCAATCCGTCCAGCAATCAAGTCCATCAGGCAATCAAGCGAGCAATCAAGCAATCCATCAAGCAATCAAGCAATCCATCAAGCAACCAAGCAATCCATCAAGCAATCAAGCAATCCATCAAGCAATCAAGCGAGCAATCAAGCGAGCAATCAAGCAATCCATCAAGCAATCAAGCGAGCAATCAAGCGAGCAATCAAGCGAGCAATCAAGCAATCCATCAAGCAATCAAGCAATCCATCAAGCAATCAAGCAATCAAGCAATCCATCAAGCAATCAAGCGAGCAATCAAGCAATCCATCAAGCAATCAAGCAATCAAACAAGCAATCAAGCTTGTTTTACCCACTATGCTCACGTAGCCGCACGAGCATCCGGATTGTCAAAGCATGCTGGAATTCAATGCGACGGAAGGAAAGACCAATCAGAATGATTGCGGAAGTAGCTTTCTGTCGAGAGGACTGGGGAGCAACTTTGTCACTGAGACGTTGTACAAAACACCAAATGGCATGAGGATGTCTGAATCGGCGCAGGCAAGTTAAACCGGAGTTGCTACCTAACCCTAGAGTTTAAGGGTATTGAGCCCGGCGACTGCCTCAGCCTTACAGCCATGCAACTTTAGCAAGAGTGCAGCATCAGATCTCTGAATCTGCGAACGGCTTTGCCGATGGAAAGTCTGGCGTGGACAAGGCTTCTCAAACAAGCAATCAGACAAGCAATCAAACACTCAATCCGGCAATCAAGCAAATCAATCAAGCAATCTAGCAATGAAGCAGTCAAGCCATCAAGCCATCAGTCCATCAGTCCATCAATCAAGCAATCAACCAATCAATCAATCTATCAATCAAGCGAGCAAGCAAGCAAGCAACCTGTGAATCAATCAATCAAGCTGTCTATCAATCAATAAAGCAAGAGAGCAAGCTACCCGTCTATTTATCTATCTCTCCATTTTCTGTCTCTGATCATCCACGCCTCTGCCACAGCCGGGGTCTGCTGCTCCTCGACGCGGTCGTAGAACTCCTATTCATCACAAAAAGTCCAGCATGCCCCAGTTAAGAAGCTTGCTCCAATTCGAGCAGGGATTCTGAAGGTGGATTTTCTGTTTTCTTGTTAAGGAGTTCAACTCGAGATACCACAATAAAGAGATGTAAGGTCTATAGATCCCATTCGAACTGAAAAATTGCGATCCTCAAGGCTTGCGGAGAACGGATGCTATAGGGCCACGGGGGAGGGCCTTGAGCCTAAGGGTTCAAGGCTTTCGAGTATAGTAGGGTCTAGAATGGTCTAGGGCTTATGATGTTGTGTTGACTCGCGCTGCGGAAACAAGTAACAAGACGTGCCCTCTCTAAACGCTTCAGCCCTGGGAATCCTGTACCATAACTCCCGAACCCTGAATCCCTAGCACTTTAAATCCTAACCTAAACCCTAAAAAATTGAAACCTAAACTCTGAATCCTAAATCCCTAAAGCTTTAGAATCCTAAACTCTAACCCCTAAAGCTTTGAAACTTAAAACCTTTCACTCTAAACCCCAAATCCCTAAACCCGTGACCTAATCCTCTCTCCTGCGTCCTGGAGCCCACCTGCAGGAACGACTGAAGATTTGAGGCTCCGGGAGGGGTGAGTTTCCAGACTTCTCGGTAACCCCCTGACAGGGGTCTTGAAAGGGATTCGGAGTTTAGGGTTGAAGGTTTAGGGTTCAGGTTTAGGGCTTAGGGTTCAAGGTTCAGGGTTTAGTGTTCAGGGTTTTGGGATCAGGGTTCCGGGTTTTGGGTTCAGGGCTTTGGGTCCGACTTGAAGCCAACTGTCAGGATTCAAATCTCCCAAGTTCGAATAATCAGTTCGACATCACTGCTTGGCATGACGATGTTAACCCACAAACCGAGAAGTTAAACCCTACGTCATCAACCCTAAACCCTGGATCGTAAACCTTTACTCCTATAGACCCTGAACACCATTTGAGCTCTGTGGCTCAGGGACATGCTCAATGGCGCATCCCTAAACCTCAAACCAATTCGCACACGTATTCCAGGACTCCACCAGCTTCAAGAGAGTTCATTCAAAGGGCTCCGAAGGTGGATCAAGGTGGGTGGTGCAGTCCTAAACAAGAGTCCGACTGTAAAGAAACTTGAATCCTATGCCCTCATCCCAGCTTTGAGGTCCCTGATGTATAGTCTTTGACTAAGTCTTCCAATCCGCCAGACCTGAACCGTCGGGCTTTTGGGTTTAGGGCTCCAGCCTGTAACATCTGCGAGGGAGGCTCTCCGAAAAAGTGGATCATGCCTTTGAGGATACCGTCCTGGCATCTCTCAGAGGTTCAGGGTTCAGGGTTTAGGGTTCAGGGGTTTAGGGGTTAGGGGTTTAGGGTTTAGGGTTTAGGGGTTTAGGGTGTAGAGTGTAGGGTTTAGGGTTCAGGGTTTAGAGCTTAGGGTTTAGGGTTTATGCAATCGGTCATGCTGGGGGAGGGCATGTCACGGGATTTCCCAGGCTTCTGCGAGTGCACCCCGAAAGCCCAAGGCATATCATCTTTCAAACCTGGAGCCGCAAAAGCAGGACCTAGACTCGCCGGGCGCGTCATAGGATCCCAGAATCCCTAAACCCTAAACCCTAAACCCTAAACCCAACAACCCCAAACCCAGAAAAACAACCTTAAACCCCAGACCCCGAAACCTTGAACCCCGAAATGTCTAGACCCCAGAACCTGAAACTTCAAAATCCTCGCACCACAAGGCAGGATTAGGATTTAGGCATCCAGGGGTTCCAGTGCTGGCGGTCTGTGCGATGCCTTGGGCTTACAGGTTTGATATACGCCCCTTAAAACACAGAATCTGGCTTTGAGGTACACAATAGCATCCTTTGTACTCGCTCAGGCTTCTAATTCTGCTGTTTTTGGAACAGTTCGGGACGTCCTTGTCGCTGGAGTGCGCGAAAAGAGGGAGACCTGACGGACGTGGGGAGTCCGGTCCCTGAACGCTGAACCCTTAAACCCCGAGTTTGGGGTTCAGGGATGTTTGTTCTTTTTAGAGCACCTTTTCCCGACTATTAGAGATGTTGATATAGGGTTTAGGGTTCCTGAAACCCGACAAACCTTAAACCCTAAAGACTCCAAGACTTGAACCCTCAACCCCAGTTCCTTGTAGGAGTGTAAGGTAGTTAGCCAAGGGGCTTGGAGGTTGGATATTTTCTGCTTGAGCTTGGAGCTCAGATGGGGTTTTAGTTTGAGATTTCTGGAAAGACTGTACGACCTGGGCTTTGGGGTACTCGCAGCAATGCAGCAGCACGCATTGGCCCTCAACCTAAACTCCGCTTTTGAATCCGTTGTGAAACCCTACGGAAAAGCCAAGAACCTGTTCCGCATGTGCTGACAAGCCCGTCCTCAGCTCTGAAACACCCGCCCAGTACGCCTACGAAGAGCTCCGCGCAGATGCACCCGAGGCTCCACATGTCCTCAGCATGTATGGCTTCTTCCCGAGTTTGAGGCTTATCGGCTTTCGTTGTTCAGGAGTGTGGGGGTTAGGCTTTGCGGACTTGGTGCGGCCGCAAATTTGAGTCAGGAGACGGCTGCGCAGCCGACCGGCGATCCAAGCAACACCTGGCCAAAGCTATGCTAATGTAGAGGCTTGACTACGGCTTTGTCGGCTTTATATAGGGTGCGGCTGCCGGCCCGGAGGTGGCTGCAAATGCAGGAGAACGGACTGCCAGGGTTTGTGGGAAGAACAAGCTGGAGATGGCACAAGCGCCATACGCACATGTTTTAGTTTAGTATACACTGCAGTACTCTAACCCCTGAAAACCCGAACCCTGAAACTAGAAACTGCCTCTGGCGCTCGGTAGGGAAGCGTCTGGACAGTGACGTCCTGTCGTTTCAGCTCCAGGGTTTACGCCTTTGGGGTCTAGGGTTTGAGGGCTGTGCGGGTTCAGGTTCTGAAGGTTAGGTATACCCTAAACCCTAAACCGACGATAGGCGGATCTTCTTGCCAAGTATTCAGGGTTTAGGGTGAATAAAACGCACTGCGGCTTTGGGTTTTAGGGTCTAGGGTCTTCCTGCCTTCAACATGGTACAGACAAGAACAAGCCCCCCCCTGGAGTCCCGTGATGAAAAAGGTCATGCGGCTTTGTAAATGGGAAATACATCGAAAAACAGAATGAAGCTTCTGGCCCCTCGAAAAAAGTACAATCGCTCCTAAAACACCGCATAGTGCCCTATTTATACCTTAGTCAACCCTCTAATAAACGCGCAGTATAAACCTTGCTGGAACCTTAAGCTGCAGCGTGGCTTGCCCCTTCCTGGGCTCTGCGCGTCCTCCGCGAGCCACTCACCCTGGTTGGCCCCACCGAAGTCGATCAACTTGCCGGAAGCTGTTGCTTGAAGTTTCGGTGTGAGAGCGGTTTAAAAGCAAGGATTGACTTGTAGGGCGAAGGGTCCAGAGTTAAAGTTTGGTTTTTCAGGGCTTAAGGTGTAGGGATCTAGCTCTCAACTCGAGAATTCGCGCGCATAGATGGCCTGCAAACACACCCAACTGCCTCGTTCCAACCTGGAACCCTACATCCGGTAGCCTGAACCTGACCCTGAATCCTGTGAGCATTTCCGAAGCATAGGTCCTTCCCTGTCTTATTATGAACACTGACGGACTGATACTGGCGACTCGGTATAAGTTTACGCCATCGAAATTCTGGAAGGACAAACAACGGTAAAACGCATCAGAAGATCCAAAACCCGCCACCCCAACAGACCAAAAAACGTGAACAACATACAATACCTATACGTGTATGTATATATATATATATATATATATATATATACATGCCTACCCACCTACCTACATACATACAGAAAAGAGGCACAGATACAGAGAAAAAGAGAGAGAGAGAGAGAGAGAGCGATAAAATGCACAAACCACGACTTACCCCCCTCTCCACTTTTCCCAAGGAAGGAGGCCTTGAAGTGAGGGACCCTGCCGCCCAGCAGAGACGACCAAGCCACGCCCTCTAGCAGCACATTCTCCTAGGGCTTCAGGTTTAAGGTTCATGGTGTCAGGTTTACGAAGGACTTAGGGCTTAAGAAAATTGGGCTTAGTGTATGGGGTGTAAGGTGTTGAGCTTGCGATTCTGGGGCTCGGAGAGAGTTTTGTGCAGTTTTGGGGAGGGTGGGGGGTAAGGCTTGGAGAGAGTTGTTTTGGCCGGGTTGGATGGCAGTTCACATGCTTGCTTGTACAGGGTCAAGAAATCCAACAAGAGGTCGGACAAATTGGTAACAACGTGCCCTTCTCGTCCCAGTTCTAGTGCAACTAAAACATACCCCGGAACTAGGAGAAACATGAAGGCAATTCCCAGCTGAGGACAACCCGAAACCAGTCTTCTAAGAAAACAGAGCATCCAAGAGGCCAAAACCATAGAAGATAAGCAAGAGCCGGACAGGTAGCTTGTTGGGTTTCAGTGACCATTCAGGGTTTCTATGGGGGCCTTTTTGGGGTTCAGGGCTTCGGCTTCAGAGTTTTGCTCATACATGCAGCCCATCTAGAAACAGATTACTGGTCGAGATTACAGCACGACGTAACCTTTCGGGTGGGTTTCGGGTTTAGGGTCTAGAACTCCACGAAAACTTATGGTATCCAAGTTGCTGGCTTCAAATCTCCATGGATGATGGGCACGTTCTGGAGGTATTCCAAGGCTGACCTTGATTATCCGAGTCCGACGACTCGTAGAAGCAACAGAATGGCATCGCAAAAGCAACAGAAGCAGCCACTGCAAGAAGCAAAAGAATATTATACAACCCTGCAATAGATCCCATATACACCCCATTAAGGAACCCTACAATATTATCAAACCCTACTACGTGTGCAACAGTGCCCACTGACAATACCAGGAGCTGTGATTTCGGATCGAAAGTTGCCGCACCAGGCTCAAGCACGAAGGACAAGGAAAGGTAGCAGTCAGGAATACTAGTTGTTGATCGTTGCGGAAAACCCACGCTCGCTGGTCGGACATGCTTCCAGCGCAGACAGTCGCAGAGAAGGAACCGTAGAAGCAACAGCAGCAGCAACAGCAGACACAACCCACGGACCACCACCACAACAACAAAAACGACAACAACGACGACAAACCTAAAGCCCAAACCCCGAACACCAGTCAAACAAAACACGGCGTGCAAGCTGTGTCTTTGCATCCAGCTCACAGAAGCTGCGCTGTTGCGGCTCGGACGGTCGTCAAGGGAAGACCTCTGAGATCACCTCGAACCAAGAGCCTGAATGGTGAGATGAAGACGGGGTCTCATGGTTAAGGATTCAGGGGATTAGGTTTGAGGGGTTTAGGGGTTTCGGGTTTAAGACTCCAAACAGACACGTGAACAGGAACAGGCTTAAACTTGAACCAGATTATACCTATATTGTTAAAAAGGAACCCCAAAATAGTAGTGCTAATATAAAGGCCTTTGAGGTACTCTTGTAGAATGCTGGAGATTGAAAGTGTGGAACGTTTCGCTGTAAGTTCTCACGCTAACCTGAATTCAACAACACAAATCCTGCGATGCCAAACATAATCATAATAAGGAACCCCCACGATAATTAGTATTGGTGATTGGTGAAGCCCCTGCCCTGTAGTATCAGGTGGGCTTTGAGAATATCTGAACCGCGAGGCCTACCGCGTAAAGCCAATAGCCCTAAAACCGGGTCGTTGCTGTTGATGGAGGAAGTCCTTCATGAAAAATGTAATTACCATAGATAACGCAGCGTCAGAACCCCAAAAGCACTTATAAACCGTCGCGGAACCGGCACTTATAAACCGTCGCGGAATACGGAAGCAAGCCTTAAGCATATAGTCTATGTCATCAACTGTCGTGGTTCGGCCTTGATGCTCATGCCTGCAGCCTCTTGATTTCAATTAGGATCCCTTGCGCAGGTTATTCTCAAAATTTCAGACTTCTCGCAATCCCCTTAGAGAGTAAGCAAAAGCACAGGTTGGAGACCCCCTAGAGGACAGCATGAACCCCAAAACGGAAGGATGTACACACATCCCTGTTACAGACCAAACCCAAACCCTTGAACCCCAAAGACGCTAAAACCCTTAACCCCTTAACCCTAAGCCGCAAACTCCAAGCGCCTAAACCAGAAATAACCCCAAACCCAAGACCGCGCCACTTGCCACAAAGCCGCTCGTAGAGGTTCGGCCCCAGCAGCTCCATGGCAATGCCTGAAAGGAGGAGTGAAAAGCCAAACAACACTAGAGAAGTGAACAAACAAAGGCGGTGCAAAGGATTGAACTTCGGTTTGAGGCCAGGGTTTAGGGTTCGGAACTCTTTGGGGTTTTATAGTTGAAGTTTGTGGTTGGGATTGGGGCTTGGGGTTCCTTTGGGTTTAGGTTCTAGAGTCTTCTGCCCCGAGAGAAGGTCAGTAGGCATAGTTCCCAAATGCCTGAAGCCCCTAGGCGCCGTGCCCTAAACTCTAGATGTTCGCAGCTGCTAGCCACTCCTTACATTTACCATCGAAGAGATTGTTGAGTCGATCTGGCCCGACACTTCGTCAAGTGTTGCTGTGAAATCTCCGCAGCAGCGGGGGCATCTTCGATATAAAACTCTTATGAAGCCACTAAGCCCTTATCGAAACTCACCCTAAACCCTACACCCTAAACTCGAAATAGACAGAGGAGTGCAGCGCCAAAGGCGTTGAGTTGGCAGGTGCAGGGCTGGGAAAAGCTGTCCCAGGGCCTCCGTCTTGCTAAACACCTCAATACCTCCACTCGGAAGAACAAAACCCGAAACGGTGAATTGCAACACAAGAAACAAACCGCTGAGGCCCTAAATGAACCCTGTGCTGTGAAAGAGCCCCCTGAAGCCAGGAGGAGGTGCAGAGATGGCCCTGGAACTCGAAGTAGTCGACCAGGCTCACCTTCGGAGGTTTCGGGCTGAGGGTTACTACAGGGCCCCTTAATAATCATCTATACTATTGTGGGGGTTCCTTGTTATATACCCTATCTAGTTATAAGGCCACTACATTGGGGTGAAGGTTAAGGTTAGGGTTTGGGCTTAAAGCTTTGAGTCTAGGATTTTGGGTCTGAGGGTTTCCCAGGTTCAGCGTTTAAAGCACAGTGTCATTCGGACTTTGGGGTTGGAATTCGGGCGTCTGAGACCCTGAACCCTGAAACTCAAATCACCAACCCCAACCCTGCAACCAGCAGAAGGCTAGAAGTGCACTGCAAAATCATGAACCCCGAAATCCTCTTCGAAAAACAGATCAAGGAGCGATGTGTGGATGGTCCAGACGCGCAAGGATCCTCGCGACTTTTAAACACAGGCGGAACGAGCACTTGGCCCTAAACCCCCAAGGCCCCCAAGCCTAAAGCACTAAACCATATATACCCTACATCCCAACTCCTACAAACCCTAGACTACGGAGATTAGAATCCTTACTGTAAAACTCCAACACTCCGAAACCCCAATCTTAAATCCCTCAGAGCATAAAACAAAAAGAAACACCTCAACCCGCCACAGCCTGAACCCCTTCACCTCCTAGCCCGACGGACAAAACATGAAAACTCCTGTGAAGCCCTGAAACCCTGTAGAAACCGTGTAATACAAATATGAGCGCTCAATCATGGAACGGGTGCCAATCCTTTCCCTGCGTTCGGGCGCGTGCAGCAACCCATTGCAACAGGTTAAATCTTCAGGCCCTTAGGGTTGAGAGAGTAAGGGTTAAGGCTTGTTGAATACGCTTAGTGCCCTTCAAGAGCGATTTGTGGTAAGATACTTTTACCTTTGTCACCCTCAAAATCCAGCAACCGTCCCTAAACCCGAGCCCTTGAATCCGAAACCCTGCAACCAAAACAGTCCGAAACCTTAAACCCTGAAGCCCTACACACTAACACCGTAACACCCCCAACCCCAGAAACCCAACCTCCTGAAAGCCGCAACCTTAAACAGGCCGTAACGCCCCGAAACACTGTCACCATGACTTCAAGTGTGCTCCTCACTTCCTGCTCCGCTTCCAAACAAACTTCAGCGCAATACCTCACGGCTTCGGGCAGACGCGGAAAGCCCAAGTACGGAAGTTACCTTTAACGGTTTAGCGTTTGGGGTTTAGCTGGGTTCCTTCCAGAGACTTAAGTCAAGTTACCGTATTCCGTAAACCATAATATTTACTATGGATCCCCATTGTGGTAATTCAAAGTACAACCAGGGCACACACAAGTGGTCCAGGGGCGGCGGGGGCTTCCCGGACCTACCACTGGACCTGCAGGACTTTCGGCCAATGCCGCAGAACCAGCTTTGATTTCGGTTTAAGGCCCCCCAAAGCCACGTCTGCTGCTTTCACTTGCCTGGAAGACCCCCAGAACCACGTCTGCTGTTTTGACGTAGGCCTAAGTCCCCCAAAGCCACGTCTGATGCTTTCAGTTGCAGTCGAAACCCTCAGACCCACGTCTGCTGTTTTGATTGCGGTTTAAGACCCCCAAAGCCACGTCTGTTGCTTTCACCTGTCGTGAAGACTTCCAGAACCACGTCTGCTGTTTTGACGTAGGCCTGAATCCCCCAAAGCCACGTCTGCTGCTTTCACTTGCAGTCGAAACCTCAGAACCACGTATGCTGCTTAGATTTCGGCTTAAGCTTACGAGCCCCAAAGCAACGTCTGATGCTTTCAACCACGTCTGCTGCTTCGACGTTGGCCTAAGTCCCCCAAAGCCACGTCTGCTGCTTTCACTTGCAGTCGAAACACCCCGAACCACGTCTGCTGATTTAATTTTGGGTCAAGTTTCAGAACAACGGCTGCTGTTCCGAAATTGAGTCAAGTATCGCAAAAACACGTCTGCTGCTTCTACTTGCCGTGACGACTTCCATAACCACGTCTACCGCTTTGATTTCGAATCAAGTACCGTACTTACCGTCAAAACACGTCTGCTGCTTTCACTTGCCGTGAAGATTTACAGAACCACGTCTGCTACATTTCAAGGAGCTCGGAAATCCAACTCACGCTTGAATCGAAAAAGGTCGACGCTACCTGGAAACTTCACCCCAAAGTGCCAACAGCAAACGGTGCCCTTAAACTCTCTTTGGGGTTTCGGTGCTGGCGGTCGCTCAAGCATCGTTAGTAACATACAAGTTTTGCGTGCAGTAGACGCGCACCGATTTGGAACGCAACCATGATGAATCCTCACATGAAAGCCCTTGCAACTCTGCAGCCCCCGTGATGCTTGTCACGATCATCGTGCCATACACCCGAACCTTGTAAGCATAGCAATTCGCGACGGAACTGGCCAATTCAAATGGTTCCTCACCACACTGGAAAAGCCCCTTGTGCTGGAGAACCATGGCACACGATGCTTCGTCAAATACAATCGCGCGACGAACATCGTTGTTGAAGTCAATCGGGCTCCATGGAGGATGTACAGTTCCATTCCAGTGTCTGTTCGGGACCTGCAAGGTTGGAAGCAAAGTAAACATCATCTTGCCGAGTTTCGTCGGTCCGTCCAGAACCAAGCAATGTCGCCTAAACATATCAACTTGGAATTGAGGAAGGAAGTCCACTTCCACTGCTTCCAGATACACTCTGGGACTCTAGGACATTGAATGCGGCGCAAGGCCGCACCCGCTGCAGCCTGGCGCACCTCCAAGTTCCTCTGCTGCATCATCTGAACCTGGGATGTGACGTGGTCACAATATTAAGCCTGACGTGCTCTTTGCACTTGAGATAAAGCTCTTTTGGCGGCTTCCGGCGGCAATTTATCCCCTTGCCACTTGCTTGTGACCCCTTCTGGAGACACTGCGGAAGATTCAAACGGTGGTGATTTCGTGGCATGCAAGCGTCCACGGGCGACTGGCGCTGCAAAAGACCTGTACGGCTGCGAGTTGCGAAACATTAACCCAGGCTCAGCTCGAAACGAGATGGTCTTGCCAATGGCATCAAACATAAAATGTATGTGCACCGATGGGACTGGAGGGTTGGCGGCATGCGAAGCTTCCACGTGTAGCTCCATTGATTGCCGCAGTCCAGCGGTCCAGCGTGTGATGGGTGTGTCTGGCACAAGCTGCTGGCTCAAGCGGCTAACGGCCGAGAACTCATGCCACAGTCCTTGCACGTACGGACATGCCACCGTCGCGCCTTGGCAAACAGCACCGCCGACAACGCGGCATCCTCCACACGGCTCCATGACCCCGAAGACCCAAACATCATGCCACTGCCACGGTACGAACTCATGACATCTTCCTTCATCTCGTCTGGACCACGGAGTGGCGTCTCGCATGTCCAACACATTATTACATGGGTGGCTGCTGCATGAAGCCGAGATGATACCAGTCTTGATTCCAGCATGGAACTCCTGATCTGCCACTTGTTGACTGCTGAAACTGAGCTGGACTTCCGTTTGGCCGCAGCATGCGCATCCGAACCCCAATGTGCATGCTCCGCAATGTAAGAGGCAACCCACTTGTCTCTCACAGCGCTCTCACCTGTCCTAGCTCATCACTCGACGGCGCGGCAGGGGGAGGCTGTGTCCACATCAAGCGCAGGCGCTTCGGCCACGCAATAAGTGCGGAACAGGTCATTCCATGTCCAAACCTGTGGAAAGGAATGGGAATTAAAACCTTCGCAAACTCCACGTGTTCTGGTGGTCAACAAAAGTGACAAGGAACCTAAAGGAACCGCTCACGGCTACAAGATGCCCACAAGAACGCACTAAGACTGCAAGGCTGCAGGACCGCAAGACTGCGTGGACTACTGAAACCACACGTCACAGGAACACAAGACTGCAAGGACGACTGCAAACTGCAGGAGCCACAGGAACCGCAAGACTGCATGGACTACTGAATTTACAGGCCACAAGAACCCAAGGCTGCAGGGACGACTGCAAACTGCAACAGCCACCGGAATGTAAGACTACAGAGACTACCGGGCGATTGTGGGCTTCAAAAACCCAGGAACGCAAGACTGGAGGGACTGCTTGACGAAAGCATGCAGCACAGATCTGCTTCAGCACACGCGAGCCATGCTGCTAAGTGAACCATGGTCATTACAACATGGCTTTGTTAGCAGAGCTAGCCGAAACCTTCGCGCTATATATAAAGCTGCCATCTCCACGGCCTTGCTGCTGGCCCTCTAGTTGATCGCACCTTTAAAACTACAAGTCTCCTCCGAAGCTCTCTTCAGCAACGGTCGACAATGAGTTAGTTATAGATGGTCTGTAGGCCCTCACGCGAGTGAAGAGAATGGTAAGCGCATTTATGTCTTGCCACGAGCGCTGCAGCAATCAACTTTGCGGCAGGTTTACTTTGCTGTGGTAACCAGATTTAGGTCTGCGAGTGGGCTTTGCGTCCGGGTCGTCAAGATCAGGATTGCAGGGCTCGGCACGAAGAACCCGCTTGGACAGACGACAATGCATGCATGCCAGGATTCTGAAAACCCTGGAATGTTTTGGCTCCAACTATTATTCAACACATCGGGGAACTTTTAACAACACCCTGAACTACACCTTTAACAACCGGAGGCGCCTCTGATGCAGATTGCCGACAGCAAACACCAGCTGCACCAGCAGCAGCAGTGGAGGCCGATGGCGGGCACAGCGTGGCTTAGGGCATGCCTCCGATGTTTGCTGGGCGTTCGGACGACTACTTAGAGACACTCCAACTATGGCAACGCCATCCAGAGGTTGTCTCAGGAAACTCTCCAGCTATGGCCCCGCCATCTAGGAGCGGTTTCCTGGCTGTTAAGGCTTAGAGTTTAAACGAAACCCCTAGCTATGGCCATGCCATCCAGGAGCGATTTCAGGAAAACTCCCCAGCTATGGCAGCGCCATCCAGGAGCAGTTGGCAGCTTTCCACAGACGTTTGGGGTGAAGGGTTTTTGGAGAAACCACAGCTACGACAACATCATCAAGAAAGCCCCCCCAACTACGACAACGTCGTCCAGGAGCAACTCCTTGTACGGTTTAGAGGTGCGGGCTTGCGGGTTTCAATGAAGCCCCCCAGCTAGGACAACGTCATGCAGGAGCGGCTTCTTGTACCAGCTCTGCATGGCATGCATGGCAACGCCATGTAGAAAAAATAATGCAGGCAAAAACCTGCTGGCTTGCTGCTTTGACTCGATGACAATGTTACGTCGCGGTCGCCTTCAAAGCAAGCCTGGACCTTAATGTTTCACTGCCTACACTGCCTTCACACCGAAAAGCTATCTGTAGTGTCTTTCTTCGACTGTGTAACATATTCTCGCCCGTTTCTCCGGCCTGCCTCATTCGGAGTCAGATGATGAGAAAAATTGGCCTGCAATGCAAGGATTTAGCACGGGACACCTTCTGCAGATGCTAAAAATGGCAAGCACAGACCAAACTTGCCACGCCATAGAATATTGCCACGCTGACGTTACGGAATGTTAACAACTGATCCTGTGACGCAACAGAAACAACTTTAAACCGATTGTGCGCTGTTGCTTCTTCGGCTTCGTACCTTGCTTGCACCAGTTATGCGATATATTCTGACTGTCACCAAGTACTGCTGCGACACGCACTCGGTTATTGCGACCGGGCAGAAGCTCTTGAAGAACAATGTGTGATGTCGCTCGTCATCGTTTGATTTTCTGGATTTGCGGTTCAAAATACGGCAAGCACTGCTCCATCACTGAGGCACGCTGTTTGGCATGCTGTATTGACGTGCTAAATGCTACTGTGTGATACAGATTCATGGGCTTCTTGATACATACACACAGACGAAACGTGCAACATAGCTCGCGTTGAAAACTCATTTGTCGCTTGAAGTTTGAAGACTTATACATACTGCTGCATCTCGTCTGCTGTTTCTCTTCGGCAGCTCTTGAAGGTCCTTCATAATTGTGTCTGCTGCTTTCAGCTTTGGGGTGGGGTTTTCAACATCACGTTTACTTGACATGACCTCGGAAATTACGTCTACTACTGCATTCAAGTTGGGACCTAGGTCTCCACAATCGCGTCTGCTGTCATTTCGTGCGCAAGACCCCCCAATTCAAAGCAGCAGACGTGCATCTGGAACTCGTGTCTCCGACGTGAACCTTGCGAAGTGACTGTAGCAGACGTGCGGCCCGAGAATCTCTTTGCAGAAATTTTGGAAGTCGAGCCTTCCCAAGTGAAACGCAGCAAACGGCATGTCTAAGACATTCCCTCAAATTGAAAGCGTAAACTGTGGTTTAAAAGATCTTGCACGTGAGATGACAGCGGCGATGTGATTGCAGAGCCCTTGGCCCCAACGTGAAAGCAGGAGACTTGATTCTGAAAGTCTTGTCTCTTGAATGCAGCAGACGTGCTACCCGAGACTCTGCCATCGCAAACAGCAAAACCCGTGATTGTGGAAGCGTTGCTCCCAAGTGAAACGCGGCAAACGTGATGTGTAAGACCTTAACCGAAGCTGAAACCATCAGACGTGATTTTCGGGATCTTGCACACAAAATGCAAGACCTTAAATACCCCAAACATCAGAGCATGGCGCGGTTCTGGCACCTTCATATTGAGTTGTTGCACTCCAACAGCAACTTTTTCCACGACGAAAGTCTGGTAGGTTGCAAACAGTTCGCGGGAGCAGCTCTGTGCTCTACAGTGCTGCGCTGTGCCTCGCGGGGCACGCGATGACACACCGCAGGACGGCTTGCAAGCATCTGAGAAGATCTGAAGGATCAACTTACGAACGCGGTCTGATATATTCTCGGTCCCGTTGTGCTGATCATGACCTTCGCCTTCGTTACGACGCGTTTCATCACCTCCACCAGAGCGGTCTGCATGGTCGCCCGAATGGGCATCAGTGCGTCCCTCACCCTCACCAAGTCCATCCCCCTGGCGCTGACGCCGCAGAAGCCATAACAACACGTTCTCGCTAAGGCCGCCTGCTCTCTTTAGCAATCGTCTTTTCTCTCGAACCTGGCGTAAGACTACCCGAGAAAACCCGAAAACCGGAGTTCACTCAACACCCGATGCACGTATGCAAGAAACTGACGTTGAGGCGAGCCTCGTTGTGCAGGGACTTGGTCGCCAACTTAAAAGCACCATTAAGGGCTTGCCATTGGGTTTTCAGGTTGCTGACCGGGTCGTCCATGCTGCAGCTCTATCAGTCTAGTTCCCGGCTGCTTGGTCTTGAGCCTGCTTTGCCGGTGGCTTTAAGACACAGTGCTGACCGTCAACCTCTCGGACCGGAATTTGCGACCTGAGCACGTTCCCTAACAGTAAATTCCTTAACAAGAGCTTGGGGTTGAGGGTTTATCATGTCTCTTTTTAGGAGGTTCAAAAGGCTTCTTGGTTGTAGATGACCTATGCAGAGCAACAACAACATCGGGGCCTTCAAGGATTTGAATTAGGTAATGCGATATGGTAAACTATACCTGAATTCGGGGCTACAAGGAGTTGCTACTCTTGATTAAATATGCAGGCTTTCAGGCTTCTATGTTTATACAATCAATGCCTCCGTCGCGAGGATGAAGACCTGCGTGCTGTTTAAGTTAATCCTTTCTAGGCCACTTCTTGTGGCTTAGAGAGCACTTTACACTGGCCACGGGGACTACGCCAGGACCTCGGCCGTCTTGGGCCGGAACGTCACGGTGACCCTGACATCACCTCGGAGCTCAAGGCACCCTGCCGCAACTTCAAGTGAGCGCTTGGCACTGAAATTAATCCGAGAGTCCTTTGGGGTTGCCCTTCAAACCAAACAGGGCGGCCCGCACAAACTTGGGGTCCATACCTCGGTGCTTTGGTGCTGCAGTTCGGAGCTCACTGCTCTCAAAGTGTGGATTCAATGACGCGCCTGACTTCTGCACTTGCAGCTGGCTTTGCTCCAGAACTGCATCGCCGATAGCGCGGACCCAGGATGTGGCCATGGCCAAAGCTAGGATGTCAGGACTGTGAAGTGCGCTGGCCTGCCTACCTGCGTTTGAACCCTGAGCATCAAACCGGCACTTCAAGCTGGGCATCAGCGACTGAGTTTGCAACACATGCGCAAGCGCCGAACATGAAACATGATTTACTGCACAGAGCAGCAACTACAATCATGCATTACACATCAGACCCCACGCCTCCACAAATTAGCACCAACAACTCCAGACACAGGCGCCTGTGTCTGCAAGCAGGGCCGGACTCCCGAAACGCTGAAACTTTGCTAACAAGCTACTTGCCAAACATCCTGATCTTCAATTCAAACCTCAATGCCAAACCCACGAAACCTTGGGCCCCATGTCCCAAACCCCAGATCTTAAAATCCCCAACTTGCAGCCAGGAAGATGATGGTCTGGGTTCAGGGTCGCGTTTAGTATTTAGAGGTTTGGGGGCTCAGGGTTCAAATTAACGTGGGAGGCTTGAGAATTCGAGTAGGCTGCGGGCTGCATCAGTACATAGCTATATAGCGAAAGTACTGTGTTGAGGAGTTTAGGGGTTTAGGGGATAGGGAAGTTCAGGGCACAGGGCTCCGATTTTCATTGCTCCTCCGAAATATGTGGTACGATTCCTGTATCACCCCAATATTTGGATATGTAGTCTTGGAAAGATCTCATTGCAATCCGCCAGTCTTTGCCACGAACTTCCTAAGCCCCATCTAGAGCCTCGCATCAAACCGAAACCCAAAGCCAGGGATGCCAAAAAAGTTGCAACATGTTGCCATCAAGCCTCAAGTCAACCCCGCACCTCTCAAATCGATGTCCAAAGACTCTTTGTGCTTCAGAATCTTCAGTGCCACTCGCTGCCCGTTCGTGGAACGTGCTCGCGCCACGCGGCCAAAGGCGCCTGAGGAAAGGCGGGTCAAATACAGCAACTAGAAGGGCCACTATACAAGCTCGCTTCTCCAGGTATGATAACTGCTAGTGTAATTACATGGGCACGAGAACATAGGAAAAGGAAGGGGGTTTGCCGTTTAGGGTCTAGGCACACCCTCAACCCTGAATTCCTGACCTCTAAATTACTATCACGAAGTGTTCCGAAAAAGTAGGCAGAATCACAATAAGCAAATCCTACAAATCCCTGAACTTGTGGCCGCGGGGGCACCGTAGCCAATCGCTTGCAGCAGTTCAAATGATTGGCCGCTGGACCTCTCGGTGTCGAACAATGAAGACAGCGTGGAGTTTAAGGTGGGGCCACGCAGTGCTATGGAAGCGTTGGTTGATATTTGTAGGTCTTCAGAGTTGCTAGCATCTGAAGTCAGATGTGAGTGGCCCCAAACCCTCATAGAGCTTTTTCAGGCAGGGGTAAGGGTTTTGGTTTCGCTTTGGGGCGTCAGCCAAATTGACACTTCAGACCAAACACTGAAGCCCCAAACCTTATATCCTCAACCCCAAACCCTCTCAACCCCTAAATCCCTAAACCCTAAAACCCTCCTACTGGCCCCCAACCCCAAACCCCCAAACCCTCCACAGAGTTCAGAGCCTTGAAGTCAAGATGTCTCCAGCACGGCAGATAAGGTTGTGCTCCTCGTCGGTGCCCGCAGCAGCATCTCCGACCCTGCGGTTTTTTTGGTTTAAGACGTAGGGCTTAGAGTTTAGGGTTCAGGGCTTATGGGTTTATGGGGTTTCTGGGCCGCATGGTGTAGAGTTCAGGGCTTTAGGGGTTCGCTGTGTAGCGTCTACGCGCTTAGGGGGTTGGGTTTACCGTGTATTTGTAGCTAAGAACTTGTTTTAGGGTTTGAGGCTAAAAAGCCAGGCTAGGGTACTTGGGCGAAGGACTCTCAATCAGAGTGGTGTCGTGGCCTACTCTGTCTCTCTGTATACATGGGTCACATTTGTTTGCAATTATTTGTGTACCGATCTGTACAGGCATGCTGCTCACTGTTTCTTGAAGACGACAGCCTTTTGGCAAACCCCGCTGATGACGGTTGATGCTTGTGGTGACTACGTTGATGATGGTGACGATGATGATGATGATGGCAATGATGATGGCGATGAAGATGATGATGAGGAGGAGGAGGATAATGATGACATGGTGACGATGATGGCAATGATGATGGCAATGAAGATGATGATGAGGAGGAGGAGGATGACAAAGATGATCACAATGATGATGATGATGATTACGATGATGATGACAAAGATGAGACTGAAGATGAAAATGACAACGATGACAAGGATGACTGCTTGTCTTGCGAGTTTTCGAAAGCATCGTTTCCCCACCCGTTTTCTTGCAAGTAGTCGCAGTGCGAATCCTGGAAACCCGAACCATGCAACTCTGGCACTGCCGAGTCACGGCGAAGGGAACAGCAAGGTACCTGCACTTACTAATTACCACTTGCAGGGTTTACTTTTCGGGCTTGGGGCTAGTTTATTGGGTTTGTGGGGCTTGAGGAAGGTATCTGTTGGGAATCGGGTTGGTTGTGCTTTCGGTTGCTGAGGCTTTCCGGGTCAAGGGCTCATGTTCTGTGGGTTCGGGCTTTGGGTTCAGGGTTTATACAAGTTTGAAGGCTTAGGAATTGAGGCCCCGTGTGCTGCTTCGCACTGGAACCTCTCTAGGCCCTGCACGCTAGCCACCACCAACCAGCCAATCTTTATCTTAAGCCGCAACCCCTAAATTCCAAACCCTAAACCCCTTAAACCGCAACCCGTAAACCCCACACAGCAGACAAGGAGCTGAGACTCGAACATTAACGCAGAACATCGCAAAGAACTCCAAATATCCGCATTTACTAAACTCCGAAGTTACATCAAAAGTAACAATAACACTGAAGTAGTTGCAAGAAGCATAATGTAGGGGCCTTAACTAGATTAGGGTTTTGGGATATGTTATACTACGTATAGTTATAGAATGATACCCCCAAAATGCTAGTGGTAATTATCAAGGCCCTTCTATTGTACAGCAGCAAGCACCTCGTGGATGGGTCTCCAGGAGTGACCGCGCTCGCTTAGCGCAGCTTGCGTCGAAGAAAGCAGAGGCGCGCTTTCGGAAAGAAACCATGGGCACATGGACTTAGAGTTTGTTGGTAGGGTTGAATTCACCTTCAGCACTTTGGGATTTCGGGTTTGGGTTTGTGGTGATTAGGCTTTAGTGGATGATTGGATATTACAGCACTGGGATCTTCAGTGAATCCCACCCCCTCAGCACAGGGCTTTACGCTGTCCCTGCCACCGAACAGGGGGGAGACTCAGCATCGGAGCTCGAAGTAAGAAGTCCGGGTGTTGGTTGAGGTTAAGGGTACTTAGGTACAGGGCTCATGGCTGGGTCTGAGGGTTTGGGGTTCGGGTTTGTACTTCAAGGGCTTAGGTGCTTTACTGCATTGGGGCTTACGTTTCGGTGGGCGCATCTGTGCTACGAGCCAAGCATTGCAGTATTGTGCAGAACAGAGCCGGAGCCGGAGACCCCGTATCCCTGTGCTAGGGCGCCATGTTTAGGAGTAGCTCTTCGTTGAGGGGCGCTTACTGGAAATCTCTAGTAGGTGGCTCAGGACTGGCACCCTTGTTTCATGACCGTTTCATTCAGGATCCGTACCAGAATTGTCAGGACTATTTCCTTAAATACCCTCACACCTGTTAGGATTTCGTTCAAGAACGAAAGGCCTCACGATATAGTACCCCCACTCCACTTCCTGTCAGGACTGCGGGTCAGGGCTTTTCCACTTGCCGTGACACGTGTAGTAGACTGAGAACCACGAAGCTGGGAAGCGGGTCTTAATCGTTAGAACAGGGTTTCCGGGCATAGTATCCTGTATTCATACAAGGGACCCTAACCCCTAAACCCTTCGGGGCAACTTTGGCACCTAGTCGGGCCCTTACAGTATGCCCTAAACCAGACAGGCCGCGAGGTCGAAGTGGTTGGTAACGCCGACAACAACTCTATCCGAAACTTCTGAACTGGATGTATGGATTTAGGGTTGGGGTGCTAGGCTTCAGGGTCTTTGGGCTGAGTGTTTGGGATTCAGGCGCCAGTAGATAGGCTAGGACAAGGTGGTTGCACCGTCCAGCAAAACAACCACAGCACATGCACAAACAAAGACATACATTCCACAAAACGTCAAACTCAAAACCACCTCCTGAAAGCCCCCTTCTAAACTAAACTCACAACATCCCCTTTTATTCTCACAACATCCCGTTATATTCTCACAACATCCCCTTATATCCTCGCAACCTCCCCTTCTAAAAGCGCCCATCTGCCGCCTCCGCTCCTGCTGTCTGTCCATGGTCCGAAGCCGGGCCAGCTCAATCGTTTGCAGGTACTGCCGATCCTTGCATGAAAGCTTTGAGCCGCTTTAAGTCTAAATCTTCAGCCGTAACTCCCAACTTTACAGGCTCTGTACGAATGTAAGGATGCAGCGATATGCAGGGTCTCAGCGTGCTTTGTGGGCGGACTTTACCATTCAACATTTAAGGTTTCTTGGTCGTTGGGCTGTGGTCTTTGGTTTTAATACTTGAGGCTTAGGGTGTGGACACAGACTTAAAAACAGGGATACACTTTGGCCGAGAACTGCTGAAGAGGAAGCAGACCTTAGAGTCTACTTGTTGAATATGCCACGCTGTCTTGATGGGAAGCTTGATTGCTACTACGACTTCTGAGCCTCTCTACGCTGTTTCGATTCTGTCTTGGCTCGGTTAAGGATCTAGGGCTTGCAGGGTTTGGGCTTCTGGGTTTGGAGTGCTGAAGCCTCTGCACACATGCCAGCATTTCATGCCAGAGTTTAGAGCCAGAGAGTCATCAGAAATAAGATCCCCTTATAGCCCATTGCATTATCTCCCAAACCGCATATTCACTCTTAAGGCCCCCTGCTTTCGAGTTTAGTTCTTCGTAGAACCACCTCCCGCAGCAGCAGGCTTGCTAGTAACTCTTACCTGGCCGAAGCTGGCTTCTTCTGAAGGAGCTTAGTGTAACTACTGTCTTCGCGGCTCAGGGTTTCTCGGGTTTGGGGTCAAGGGAATGGGGTCAGCTCAAAGTGCCACAATAAGACAATACCGAAGCAACAGGCATGCTGACGATGGCTTCGCACACTGAGATCCCGGGCCTTGGGGCCCCGAAACCCCTGTTTCAAAGGCGTGGAACCCGATTAGCAACGACCAAATCACGGCAACTTAGTTGGCTACGGCAACTTGGACTAAGATCCTTAGCACTAGGAACCCCGTAGACCCCAAACCAAAAACACAGTCTGTTAATAAACTCTTGAGTTCTTGTCACTACAAGAACAGATCAAACAGAAAGGATAAGATTTCTGATGGAAAATTGTCTACTTGATTCTAGGAGCACAAAGAAAAGAAACGAATCCTACGGAACACCCAGAACAGAGGCCCGGAGGAGCAGTCAACCCACGGCCCGCTGCTCAGCGCCCGACAAATTGGAAGGGGTTGTTCATGTTGCGCCAAAGAGGCCTCAGCCAGCGGTTTAGAGTTTGGATGAATGGGGTTTAGGATTTCAGGCAGAGTTTAGGATGGGAGGTTTAGCGTTCTAGAGTTTGGGAGTAGAGGTTTAGGGGGAATCTTACATCCTAAACCTAAGACTAAGACCCTTGAATGGCCGTTTGGGCTGTCTTGATTTGAACTTGGGACGTCTGGCCAAAGGATGGGGCGCCACAGCCCCAGCAAATCCTTGGGGGTTTAGGCTGGCGGCTTGAGGCAAACGCTGCCGACCTTGCGATTCTTGTAGAATGCTTTGTGCGACATACTGTGCCAGAACATCCAGGAAAAGAGGACAAAAAAAGCAGTACTCTGAAGTCCAAACCCGAACACCTCATCACTCAGGCTAAGCCTCAAAGCACTCAACTCTAAGCCCTCAGTCCATGCCACAAACGCCAATGAGGGTCCCACAAAGGACTCCTTGAAGGAACCTACAAACGGACATAAGCCCTCAAAAACACTAACCCAAAGCTAAACCCTAAAGCCTTAAAACCCTGAAAAACGCTTAAAAGCACGGAATACCCTTAATATCCTTAAAACCCTTAACCCTCAAAACCCGTTTAAGCTCCCAAAACCTGAACCAAAAGCCCAAGGGACCTCCAGGTCTCCCTCGTCGTGGGGATGCCCTGCTTAAAAGATCATGGGCCATCATGGGACTCAGTAACTCAAAGGGGATCCTAAAAAGGGATCCTTAGAAGGGACCCTTAAAGGGGTTCCTTAAAAGGGATCCTTAGAAGGGACCGTTCCTGAAAAGGGATCCTAAAAAAAGAGATCCTTAAAGGGGTTCCTTAAACGGGCTCCTTAAAGGGGTTCCTTGAAGGGGCTCCTTAAAGGGGCTCCTTAAAGGGGTTCCTTTACCTATAGGGGTGTAGGTGTGTATGGTTCATGGGTTGTAGCCAAGGTAGCTGCACTAATATTTACAACATGGGACTTCAAAGATAGGGCTACAAATAAGCTAACTATATCTGTTGGTATTTAGAAAGTCCCATGATCCTCCAAGTGGTTGTCAAAGCTTCATTCATCTCCCCGCTAGACCCTAAAAAGTGTTTGAGGAGTGTTGGGCTCAGATTTTTTGGCTTCGGGTTTAAGGTTTGATTCCTAGCTTTTGATAAGGTACAGTAGCTTCTACAAGGGTTCTAAGAGGCTGCTGTAGAAGGTTTGCATGGTTGAAGGATTAGCGTGACACCCTAAACCCCCAACCCTATAACCTCAGATTAACTTTCAAGAAAAGAAGTCTTGGGGCAGATTATGCATACTGGTATTGAAGAAAACACTAGTCATATCCTGTCCATCAGCAGAAGGACGGAACAAACGATATTGAAGAACCCTGATGAGTGATATTACCTCAATATTCGGGCATCTGTATTCGGGAACTGCGGCTGAGGTTCAGGTCGTTACTTCACTCTGACACCTCGGCTATACCCTAACAATTCCTCTGAACAATATGCGGAATGCCTGGCTTACGGTTTCGGGTTTAGGATCGAAAGTTGTTTGGTTTAGGGTTCTGGGTTTGGGGTGTGGGGTTCAGGCTTTAGGGTTTTTTGGGGTGGCCCAAACAAACAGAAATGATATAATTAAGGGTACCGAGACACTATCAAAAAGCTCATGGTTCAGGTACTGTACTCAAACCATCAACTCACAAACCAAGACCTATAAGCAAAAAATGTGGGTTTCGGGACCTCCGTTCATGATTTGCCATATTAAAACCGATCCGAAATAGGCTCCAACGTCTCTGGATGTTCTTGAGCTTCGGCAGCCCAGACGCAAGTAGTGTACCCGTCTCTTACTTCAAAAGCAGGCTGATCCGAAGTCCCCTCGTTCCGGGATCCTCGCTCTAGTATTAGAATAGGGTTTTGGTGCACATTATACTATAGTTTGAATATGGAACCCCCAATATAGTCTAGGTAATTACTGAGGCCCCGATATCAAATTGCGCTACTGAGTGGAACGTATACGATCATGCAAAGGAACGACCAATTTCACGCAGTGGTCAAACAACTTAAATCCAAACCCTCAAAACCCTAATAATCCTGCGTCCCGAAAGTCCCGAAACATCCGAAACAAAAGCTGTACAATGCCCTAAACTCGGAGTATGGCTGGCTTGTCTCTTCTGAGTGATGTTTCTTACCTTCGTATATATATATATATATATATATATATATATATATATATACTCTCAGCCTTCTCTGGCTGCATCTTGACCAAGCATTTGCTGACCTGGGCGTGGTTCGGGGATGTTTAGGGTTTTGGGCTTCTGGCATTCGTTTTGGGGTGTGGGGTTTGTGGGTGTTAGGATTTAGGGTTTATGATTCATGGGTTTGGGTTAAACATTCAGGGTTGTAGGCTTTGAGGGTTTAGGGGCTTCGGGCTTCAGGCTTAGGGGCTTAGGGTTAAGGTTTCGCTTTTCCTTTGAAGGTAACAGTCTTGCAGCAGGAAGAGAAGCATGCCCATGGACACGTGCACTCACCGCACCTGAAGCCTCGAACCTACCCAGAGACTCCAATATCCCTTCCTTCAAGGATTTACAATAAAGTGTGGTAGGATCCCTATTTTCATTTATCGTCTATTCCTTAATAAGGGGATATTGGAGTCTCCGGGGAAGCTATTACCCAAGCACTGAACTCTCAACAAAAAACAAGGACTCCCGGCGGCGATGGCATCCCGCGGATCGAGGATGATCGGGTCCCCTGCCTCCGAAGCATTGGGATTGTGGGTTTTGTTTTAAAGTGTACTGGTCCCTTTCGCACTGCAGATTCAGGAACCTGCCTTGCAGGCTTACACTCAATCGGCCAACCTGTATGTAACGCCAGCTTTCAGAAAACAGCGACTCTAACGAATCTCGACTTCGATCTCTTCTGGTGGTTCAGGGCTTAAAGATTTTGGGTTCAGGTATGAGTGGGGCTTAGGAAATTGTGGATTTAGGGTTTGGGAATTTAATGCATTGAGCTTCACTGAGGAATCGACGAATGACTGCTCTCAGGCACTCAGGATCCTGTGCAAATTTGAAGTGCAGTGCTTGCTTACGGTCTTTGGTGGCTTTCTGGGTGTAGAGGTAGCTAGTATCACCGTGACTCGTGCTTTACAGGTATCCTGGCTAGGAAAGCCTGGCTGATTGCGGAAGAAGTGAACGGTGGTAGGCCACCGGTGACACAGTGGGAATCTGTATCACCTCAGACCTTCGGATCGGAAGCCTGTACGAGATACTACTGACAACGTCTGTTTGCCCGAGGCTTCCAAAATTTTTCGACCCGAATCCAAACAACCTCCGAACCCTAATAAGGTGGCCTCAACACTTAGAACAAGCTGTCGGGTATATACCAGAATACCATAATTATCATAATGAACCCTGAGGAATAGGTATATTCCTCTCTTCCTCTCTAGACCCTGACACTTGGGCCCTAAACCCTAAACCCCAAGCAAAACGGGGTCCCGCACCTTGCTCTTAACCATGGTCTCTGCTTTGGAGGCCGGCTACAAACAGCGCCAGACGCGAGGGCTGCAGCCCCAGAATCCAATATAGAAGCCTGAATACCATTCTGTCTAGGTCCCTGCAGAAAGGCTGGCGGGCATCGCTGATGTAGTAAGTAATAACATCATCCACCTACCTACATCCCTATGCAGTAAAGAGTGAGCTACGTAATTATACTTGCCGATAAGAACCATGGGCTTTACTTGCTTTCTGAACTCAAAATATTCCGTTGCTCCGTTGAGCTTGGCTTGCTTGGGTTAAACATAATGCTCATGCCACAACTTCATGGGGCTGCGCCATTTGTCGGGCATTTGTAGCTGATGAGCCAAACAGAGAACGATGGCGGCACCGGAGGTTACGCAATGAGGTTCTGAGGTTGAAGCTTCAAGGGTAGAGATCCTACACCTCAAACCCGCAAACCGCAAACCGTACGCTGCCGCCGCTGCTGCTACTGCTACTCCTAGTACTACTGCTACTACTACGACTAGTACTACCCCTGCTGCTACTACTACTACTACCACTACTACTGCTACTACTGCTACGACTACTGCTGCTACTCCTCTTACTCTTACTCCTACTCCTGCTCCTGCTCCTGTTACTGCTACTGCTACTGCTCCTGCTACTGCTACTGCTACGGCTACTGCTACTGCTACTACTACTACTGCTGCTGCTACTACTACTACTACTACTGCTACTACTACTACTACTACTACTACTACTACTACTACTACTACTACTACTACTGCTACTACTACTACTACTACTACTACTTACTACTACTACTACTATTAGTATTATAGTAGCTGTAGTAGTAGCAGGAGCCGCAGCAGCAGTAGCAGTACTACAAGAGGGAGACTAAAGTCAGATCAGTCCGCGTGAAGTCACATCATCCTCGTAAACGCTGGGGCGGGGCGAAGTCACTTCACAACGTGAGAAGTCCCTGCAACGCTCCTACAAACCATGTCAAACCCCATCTAAACGCTATGACCAATCCTATTGGGAACAAAGCTACCGAATATGGATTTTGAGTCCGACGCGCAGGCATTTCCAGGGTTTTCAATATGATACATGAGCGCATTTGCTCGCAAACCCATGCAAACGCTATGACGGATCTAAGTTAAACAAGACAGTAAGCACAATCTGCAAACATAGGTGTCTTTACTACAAGCAGCGGTGAAAGTCATGCCTAAGTCTTAAGTCGTGCCTTGGGTGCTTCCCTCATGTAAACGCTGTAAACGAGAAGTCTCGCCAAGTCGTACCTTTGAGGCTTCCCCCTACGTAAACGCATATGCCAAGGATGTTAAATAAGTATACACATACTTCAAACTGAAGTTACAAATGCAAGACAGTCTCTGGGAATACGAGTACCGGCACATCGAATCAGCAAGCATGTTGGCTGTGGCAGGGATTGTCTTGTGTTCGGCGTCGATCAGGCTGACGAAACCCTCCCTCTGTTAAGAATTTTTGTAAAAGAGAATGACTGGTCAGCACCCCGAAATTTCCCGCTTTCCAGCCCGGAGCACCTGCTGCCAGTGCGGAACAGTTCTTGACTTGAGAAGCCCTTGACCCCGAGTGACTCGTTTTCACTCTTCCTTGCTATTGCCTCCGCCGATGCGTTGATGTCGTCGGGCGAGCTGTGGTCGATGTCCTCGACATCCAAGTATGGGGGATTGAAGTACAAAAGCTCAGGTTGGAGTCTCAGTAGGTTGTAGGTCGCAAGGGAAATGGAGACCCAATCGATGACGCGTCGTCCGTCCCGTTTCACAGAGAAGGACGTCGTCCCGTTTCACAGAGAAGGAAAGGGGGAGCACCATTTCTAGGCAACTATTCTTGCTTCGGCCACTCTGGCAGATTATGTGAGACATGCTTCTGGCAGGCATAGACCCTAAGAGTCCAAGTACCCAAGGTTTAGGGCTTGCAAGCCCGAAACAAACGTGGCTGGGTGGTCGGTCCCAAAACTGGTCGCCTCACACCCTCCGACCCAACACGGTAAACACCCAAAGCCCTTATGTAACGCCGCAAACTTCTAGCTGAACCCCAAACTCCCTCAGCCCCATAACCTGCAACTAGACCCGAACCCTGAACCCGAAACCAGCCACACTTTAGGGCCTGAGCTCGCAACACCCACGCACCCCTGAACCCTTAACCCCAAGCCCTAAACCCTCGACCCTAAACCCCTACCCCTAAGCCCCAAACCCTGGACCCAAAAGTCAAAACACCAAATGCTATACTGTACCAGCCAGCCCAAACCCGACAGAAGAAGCCAATGCAGGTCAAATACGGGGGGAACTCTTCCAAGACCCACCCATTTCCGGCGTCAGAGGTCAAGTTTTATCACCTGGCCTGGCTCAACTGCTTTGGAGGTTCCTTTCAGGGTATTCTAGGGTTCAAAAATCCTAGAATCGAATCCCTCTGAAGGGTACCATAATAGGGTCCCCTTTCAGGGGTTTCCGTACAGGGCTCCTGTAAGGGCTTCTAGAGGCCTGAGGGTTTAGAGTTTAGGGTTGAGGGTCCTTCCCGAGATCAGCAAGTTTGTTTCGAGCGCTTCGCGGGTCGTCGATGGTAGGATGCCAGGACCGTGCACCTTCCATGTTGCAGTGCAGCTGTAGATGGGGGAGGGTCAGGAAGAACGGGAGGAGATGGAACCCCAAACCCTAAACGGTACAGGTCAAAACCAGCAGGTAGTAAGAATGCTACTTTATCTTTCCCGTATGGCCAGCGTATGACTACCCCTGAAACCCTGTACTAACAAACAAGGCTCGTATTGGAAGAACATGAAGATGCTATTGCCGACTGGATCTGACCTCCGAAGTCCTAAAACCTCGAACTCCAAATAGGGACGCGTATGTCTTAAACTGCAAACCCTCAAAGGGCTAGGGGTTTAGGGCACTTAGGGTTACTTAACCCAAAACTCTGAATACCAACTAAAACTTAGCTTCCAATAAAGCCAAAGACTGTGCACCCTGCGTCGTCCCAAGAGGAGTCTTAACAGAAACACTAAAAATGAGTCGCTGGATTCTGAGTTTTCGGGTTTAGTGATGTTTAGGGGGGTTAGCTGCTCGAGTACCCCTCGTTCTCCGGATTGTGCCAAAAAGAGGTCATGTTGGGGTGTGCAGGTTCACGTGTCCAATGACCAGCTGGAGGATTTCGGCCTCAGGAGAACCCGTCAAACGGCTGGGTGACTTCTAACGAACGCTTTTTTCTGGAGCTCCTACACACCGAACTTGGAGAATACCCAGAATGACCTTGCTGCTTGATCCATGTTCCGACAGTACACCAAGCCCGAGATCCACTACATATCATAGCATAACTCCAACACCGAAGCTTAAACCCAACATTTCAGAGCCGACCTACGCGGGCGGCGTGGCGCCATCTGCTCTTAGCTGCAGGATCTGCTCTTTGACCTAAGCTTGAAATTTCCCAACAAGTCGCTGGTGTTGGGTTGCGTGTTTGGGGTTCAGGGCCTTAAAGTGTTCAGGGCTGCAAAACAAAAATAGGGAAATCAGCCTAGCTGACAGGAGCTTAGGCTTGATGCAGACCCCTGACATAGAATTCTAACACTTGCAAGCAGGCTACAAAAGCGTAGAGCAGGGGTGTGGTTAAGCAAGTAGCGTCTACAGCAATCCCTGAACCCAAAGCACAACCCCAGCTCCTAAACAAAATCTTATACCCCAACTCCCGCCCACTCCTAACCCTGAGGTTTAAGGTTTGATTGTGTCAGGGCCTCAAGCATCGCGTTTCTTCGAAGAGCTTGCAACCTCCACATTTAAGGGTGCAGCAGGTTTGAGAGACGTTTTGCAGCCAAACTACATGCCTAAACATCGCCATGATAAGGTAATATACCTGCAACAGGAAAAGGCTTTTGGTGCCTTGGGGCTTCATGGTTGTCTGTTGCTACAGTGCATGCATGTAAACTTTATAACGTCCAGTCAAAGTTTAGGACTCTAGGCTGCGCACAATCCTAAATCCCTCTGCCCTGAACTGAAGGCATGGGGCTGAAGCACCTCGACCCAGTACGCCAGCCCTAGCAAACACGGACCGTAGCGGTAGCACTCACGTTGGACCCGCCTGCCGGGGCCTGTGGTAAATTGGCAGGAAAAGCACACAGCAGAACGAGTTTAGACCTTGACCCTAAGAGAAATACGCTTGGGTGGCAGCCGCCTTGGACGTCGGGGGTGGGATAGAAAGTAAAAGGTAGAAAGCCTTCGACGATCAGGCTTGAACAGCTGATCGCCAGAGTAGGATGCACTAGGCACGACCTGTGCTCCCCACGCACCATTCCATGACAAAAACCCTAAACCCTAAACCCTGTCCCAAAGCACCAAACCTGTCTGTAAATCACCGCCTAGAATCGATGGTGTAAATTTCGGTGCTCCGTGGTGGCTGCGCCGGAAAGTTGTGACCTTCGGCGTGTGTCAGTACGAGCGGGTTCTCGTAGTATTCCTGGAATGCGATGAGGAGGGTTTAGGGTTCAGGGTTCTCGTAGAATTTTTCGGAACAGCTTTGTCAGGTTTAGGGGGTCTAAGATGGTTCAGAGTTTACGGTGCTAAGCGGTGTTTACGGCTTTGAAACTTCAATAGACTTAACGACAGCTTTAAGAAATGAGGCCTAAAGCCCTTATCCTTTGGCACTCTCTCTTGCTGGGGGCCTTTAGACTGAATTGAAACTCAAAGCCCTGTAATCGTGAGGCCCCATACACTTGCATGCGGTTACAGAACTTCGTGGAACTTCATTAAGACACGATGTTGCGAAGAGCGCATTCAAGACTGTTTTAACTTTCTCTGGCCCTGAGTCTAGCCGTACAAGTATCAGGGTGCTGTCTGATCGTCTTCTTGCTGTCATCGACCAGAGCCCTATGCTTCTCAGACTTGTCTACCGCCTGTTTGGAATTTGGAACGCACGCTGCGCTGTCAGAAACCTAAACCCTAAACCGTTTAGGTACCCTTAACCCTGAACCCTAAACTGTTTAGGTACCCTAATCCCTAAACCCTAAACCCTACACTACTTAAAGCTTAGCGATTGAACCTATCAAGAGTGGATTCTCGGAGCGTGGTGGGATGCCGGGTTCTTGCTTACCGGCCTAAGGGTCTACATAAGAACCTCAAAATACCGAAGTCGGTTTGGGGTTTAGGGTATCGGGCTTATGGTCTAGGAGTCGAGGGTCTTCGGAAGTCAATTACCTCATTTCTGAAACCTGACACGGAGAAGCTTCGACTTTCATAAACCCTGCAATGCAAGATCAACACAACAGTGCCACGCAGTAATCTTTCAAGCCCTTATCACGCATGGTGCCTCAAACCTTTTCAGAACAAGCACGACAAGACGGTACAAACCTGATCAACCTCTCCTCCACGCGCTTCGTGGTGCAGCGGCCCTCGCGTGCGTAGGCATAGTACGGTGATGTCCTTGGAGGGGTCCGAAAAACGCAGCATTTTGGTCATCTACCTACGGCAACAATGACAGCCCCTGCGGCTGCTGCTGCTACTGCCTGATCAACAGCTAGCAGTCACCAGGAGCATAGAGTGTAGGGTTTAGCGGTTAGGGTTGGAGTTCAGACTTAGGGTTTATGAGCTGTCGCCATCAGATGCTGTAGGTTCCCTGGTCTTGGGAGAGCTGTCGTGCTGGGTTGCAGATCCCCTTGCACCCTCCGCGGGTCGCATTCGTCCCGCGCTGACAATATATGTTCATTCGCGTGAGGTATGAAGGAACCTCTCTCTCTCTCTATCTCTCTCACTCTGCGACATGCCCAAGTCAGTCATCAGCACCAACAAAAAAAGCTTGTTAGCTAATCGCACTCTAATCGCCCAAAGCTCCAGGGTCAGAATAGTAGTCATTGTATCTGCAAAGCGTCTCTCCGAAGATGTGGATGCTGGGATGCTTTACTGGCGTCTCGAACAACTCCACGAATCTCTGATCGCGGATGTGCATGCCTCAAAAAGGCAAGCTCGTCGATTTTTGCGATCCCGGGATATAGGGGGTTTTGAAGGATAGCATACAGTTTTCACTCATCCAACCGCCATCCGTCATTCAACGCAAGATTCTGCAAATTCTCCTGCAGGCGCTCGTCTAAAGCTTCGTAGCACAGCAAGCAGGGCAGATCCAGTCTACCATTGGAAGCCCAAACCCTGAATCCTGACCTTAGTCATCTCCTGGGGTGTGGGAGGATACAGTAGTCCAAGAGCCTTCTCTGACAAATGTGTAGTCCTTGCAGCGACGACGATTTGAATGGCTACCCTGTCAGCCCATAAGGGTTTCGGGGTTCGGGTACTACTACTAATTACTACTACTACTACTACTACTACTACTACTACTACTACTAATCCCCTCCCCCTAATATTAAAGGGTCGGGGCCCCCCCCCCCCTTCGCCCTAAATAAAAACTCGAAAATGTTTTTATAATTAGGGGGGTGTTGTTATCTCAATTCCTAGAAACACAGGTTCTACAAGTAATTAAATGATGAAAATGATGACGATGAAAATGATGATGACGATTACGGTGATGCTTGTTATGATGAAGATGGCGGTAGTGGTGGTGATGGTAATGATGACGATGATCATGGTCCAAGAGAAGAACATGATGATGATGAAGAACATGATGATGATGTTGTTGTTGATGATAGCAATGCTTCATGGTTGCACAAGTGCAGAAGAGCACATGTGGCAACCTGCAGGTTCAACCTCTGCAACCTGCTGCTTCAACCTCTGCAACCTGCAGGTTCAACCTCTGCAACCTCTGCAACCTCTGCAACCTGCTGCTTCAACCTCTGCAACCTGCTGCTTCAACCTCTGCAACCTGCTGGTTCAGCCTCTGCAACCTGCTGGCTCAACCTCTGCAACCTGCTGCTTCAACCTCTGCAACCTGCTGCTTCAACCTCTGCAACCTGCTGGTTCAACCTCTGCAACCTGCTGGCTCAACCTCTGCAACCTGCCCCACGAAAGCCGGATGTGCACCCAGTCCCCTCTAGAGAGTCCCCAGAGAGCCCAAAGCTTCAGGCCACCCCAAAATCTTGATTCCGGGTGGGGAAAGGGCCCAGACGACGCCCCTGGGGATTGAGCCCACGACCTTTGCCAAGAAGGCTTTAGAGCCGGACACTTACCCATTAGGCCATGGCCAGATAGTCTTTGGCAAGGTTGCGCACCTTGCTAGTAGTTTTGGGAGAGGTCGCAGGCCCAATTCTTGCGGTGTCATTTTGGGCCCTTTCCCCATCCAGAATCGAAATGTTGAAATGACCAAAAGCGCCAAGAGAGCACAACCAAACCCGCCGAAAACCGCGCAAACCCACCAAACCTCTGCAACCTGCTGGTTCAACCTCTGCAACCTGCTGCTTCAACCTCTGCAACCTGCTGGTTCAACCTCTGCAACCTGCTGGTTCAACCTGTGCAACCTGCTGGTTCAACCTGTGCAACCTGCTGGTTCAACCTCTGCAACCTGCTGCTTCAACCTCTGCAACCTGCAGGTTCAACCTGCTGGTTCAACCTCTGCAAATTGCTGGTTCAACCTCTGCAACCTGCTGGTTAAACCTCTGCAACTTGCTGTGGATCAACTTCTGCAACCTGCTGGTTCAACCTGTGCAACCTGCTGGTTCAACCTCTGCAACCTGCAACCTGCAGGTTCAACCTCTGCAACCTGCTGCTTCAACCTCTGCAACCTGCAGGTTCAACCTGTGCAACCTGCTGGTTCAACCTGTGCAACCTGCTGGTTCAACCTCTGCAACCTGCTGCTTCATGCTGCTTCAACCTGTGCAACTTCAACCTCTGCAACCTGCTGCTTCAACCTCTGCAACCTGCTGCTTCAACCTCTGCAACCTGCAGGTTCAACCTGCTGGTTCAACCTCTGCAAATTGCTGGTTCAACCTCTGCAACCTGCTGCGAAATTTTGAGATCAGGCGCAACCCCACTTACCATTGGGGGGGATTCCTACGGAAAAGTTCTGGCCGGGATGGCTATTTGGGCAAATTAGCCCTACGCCCAGAATCTCTGGTACCGCAGAAGTGGGCTCCCGCCGGTCCTAGTACTGTTGGTTAAACCTCTGCAACTTGCTGTGGTTCAACCTCTGCAACCTGCTGGTTCAACCCTGCAACCTGCAGGTTCAACCTCTGCAACCTGCTGCTTCAACCTCTGCAACCTGCAGGTTCAACCTCTGCAATCTGCAGGTTCAACCTGTGCAACCTGCTGCTTCAACCTCTGCCTCTGCAACCTGCTGGTTCAACCTCTGCAACCTGCTGGTTCAACCTGTGCAACCTGCTGTGGTTCAACCTCTGCAACCTGCTGCTTCAACCTCTGCAACCTGCTGCTTCAACCTCTGCAACCTGCTGGTTCAACCTGTGCAACCTGCTGGTTCAACCTGTGCAACCTGCTGCTTCAACCTCTGCAACCTGCTGCTTCAACCTCTGCAACCTGCTGGTTCAACCTCTGCAACCTGCCCCACGAAAGCCGGATGTGCACCCAGTCCGCTCTAGAGAGTCCCCGGACAGCCCAAAGCTTCAGGCCACCCCAAAATCTCAATTCCGGGTGGGGAAAGGGCCTAAATGACACCCCCGGGGATTGAGCCCACGAATTTTGCCAAGAAGGTATTAGAGCCAGACACTTAACCATTAGGCCATGGCCAGATAGTCTTTGGCAAGGTTGCGCACCTTGGTAGTAGTTTTGGGAGAGGTCGCAGGCCCAATTCTTGCGGTGTCATTTTGGGCCCTTTCCCCATCCAGAATCGAAATGTTGAAATGACCAAAAGCGCCAAGAGAGCACAACCAAACCCGCCGAAAACCGCGCAAACCCACCAAACCTCTGCAACCTGCTGGTTCAACCTCTGCAACCTGCAGGTTCAACCTCTGCAACCTGCTGGTTCAACCTCTGCAACCTGCTGGTTCAACCTGTGCAACCTGCTGGTTCAACCTGTGCAACCTGCTGCTTCAACCTCTGCAACCTGCAGCTTCAACCTCTGCAACCTGCAGGTTCAACCTCTGCAACCTGCTGCTTCAACCTCTGCAACCTGCAGGTTCAACCTCTGCAACCTGCAGGTTCAACCTGTGCAACCTGCTGCTTCAACCTCTGCCTCTGCAACCTGCTGGTTCAACCTCTGCAACCTGCTGGTTCAACCTGTGCAACCTGCTGTGGTTCAACCTCTGCAACCTGCTGCTTCAACCTCTGCAACCTGCTGCTTCAACCTCTGCAACCTGCTGGTTCAACCTCTGCAACCTGCTGGCTCAACCTCTGCAACCTGCTGCTTCAACTCTGCAACCTGCTGGTTCAACCTCTGCAACCTGCAGGTTCAACCTCTGCAACCTGCTGGTTCAACCTCTGCAACCTGCTGGTTCAACCTGTGCAACCTGCTGGTTCAACCTGTGCAACCTACTGCTTCAACCTCTGCAACCTGCTGCTTCAACCTCTGCAACCTGCTGGTTCAACCTCTGCCTCTGCAACCTGCTGGTTCAACCTCTGCAACCTGCTGGTTCAACCTCTGCAACCTGCTGTGGTTCAACCTCTGCAACCTGCTGCTTCAACCTCTGCAACCTGCTGCTTCAATCTCTGCAACCTGCTGGTTCAACCTCTGCAACCTGCTGGTTCAACCTCTCTGCAACCTGCTGGTTCAACCTCTGCAACCTGTTGCTTCAACCTCTGCAACCTGCAGCTTCGACCTCTGCAACCTGCTGGTTCAACCTCTGCAACCTGCTGGTTCAACCTCTGCAACCTGCTGGTTCAACCTCTGCAACCTGCTGTTGATGTTGGGAACTTGCACCGGGGAGGGTTTTGGTGGGTTTGCGCGGTTTTCGGCGGGTTTGGTTGTGCTCTTGGCGGTTTTTGGTCATTTCAAATTTCGATTCTGGATGGGGAAAGGGCCCACGGGGACACCGCCAGAATTGGGCCTGCGACCGTGCCCAAATCCCCTGGGGAGGCAGCCGCCAGCCCCCAGAACTATCTGGCCATGGCCTAATGGGTAAACGTCTGCCTCCAAAGCCCTCCTGGCAAAGGCTGCGGGCTCAATCCCCGGGGGTGTCATTTGGGCCCTTTCCCCACCCGGAATCGAGATTTTGGGGTGACCTGAAGCTCTGGGCTCTCTGGAGACTTAAGAAACGCTATTATAAGGCACACCAAATCCGTGCAAATGCACATTAAACCGTGCAAAGACATACGAAGTTCGTGCACATGCACACCAAGTTCGTGCTAATACACACGAAATGCGTGCAAATACACACCAAATCCATGCAAATACACACTGAATCCGTGCAAATACACGCCGAATCCATGCAAACACACACTAAATCCGTGTAAAGACACGCACACTAAATCCCTCTAACTACACACCAGGCACACAGTAAATGCGTGCAAATACACACGGAATCTGTGCAAATACACACACTACATCCCTGTAATTAGACACCAAATACTGCGTGCAAATACTCACGATCCGTGCAAATCCATGCAAATACACACTAAATTCGTGCAACTACACAGGACGTGAGTGCAAATACACACCAAATCCGTGCAAATACACACGGAATCCGTGCAAATACATCTAAATCCGTGAATCCGTGCAAATACATACTAAATCCGTGCAAATACACACTGAATCCGTGCAAATACACACTAAATCCGTGCAAACACACAAATCCGTGCAAATACACACTAAATCCGTAAATACGCATTAAAAAAATAGGCTTCAATAAAGGCTTGGCTAATAAAGCTTTTCATGCGGCTCAATTGAGCAGTTGCTGACTCATGCAATTATAATTCTTCCCCCTAAACCCTCAATCTATAGACCCTAAACCTTCCCCTTAATTGAAATTAGGGTTTAAAGGGCGGTGCTACTTCCGGGTGGATCGGGGGAAAAGTGTTTTTATAATTAGGGGGTCCTTTAATAAACGGGGGAGGGGATTACTACTACTACTACTACTACTACTACTACTACTACGACTACTACTACTCCTGCTGCTGCTGCTGCTGCTGCTGCTGCTGCTGCTACCACCCCATCAGGATCCATGCACCTGTTTGGAATGTACATTGGCTTTCCGGTTCGTCTTTAGCAGCACTTTACAGCCAAAGTGTATGCGGTGTTGGCGCAGGTATACTGTCATGACTATGTTGCCCAGCTCGCGTAAGAGGCTCTAAACAAAGAGCCCCGACTGGCCGGATGACTGTGTGGGTATTCCATTCCTTGGATCGTTTAACTACAGGATCGGAGTTCTCTGAACCAGCGGCCCAAGCAAGCATCTAAACGCAAGGATCATACCTTTGGAGCGTAAGGGCCCCCTCAAGACAGATCTCGTGCAGAAACCTTTGTTTGCAAGATGCTTGCCGTTGTGTGCGTCCTTGGCACCCGAGTCGAAGCCCTAAACCCCGAACCTCAGACCCCGAAACCCTACTACGAAACCCAAGCTCAACAACCAGCGAAAGCGCAAACCCCAAGCTAGGGGCCTTCGAAGAACACAAGCAGGTTGCACGGCACCGGCAGTCCTGCACGTGGCTTGCTGAAGTACAGGATGTGAACGGGAGTGTACAAGGTTCTAACTTAGTCGTATAAAATGCAGGTTATAGAAGACACATGAAGACACCAATAGGTACCGCCATCACATTGCTGGCGGGGTTTCAGAGGGGCGAAGCCGTAATTCCCGTGATACCGGGTGGTCGGAGCATTTATGGTTCTGCCCACCAGCAGCATCAGTGGTGGAGGTGTGTTGGTGCATCGCATCTCCCTCTACTGATCCCGTGCTTCGGACCTGTGTCGAGACTCCTGCCACGAAAATACGGTCCTTGAGCCTAATTGGCCCTTTGGAGGTCTAGTATTATGTAGTGGCGAAAGGGGAATACGATTGCTGACTATTCCGACCCCTCGGTCAGACTCGAAACCCAAAACCCTCAGCGCCTACACCCGAGCAGCTGCTTGTAGACCTTGCAATCGAGGTGCCCTCTCGGCGCAGGTGTCCCACCAGGTAGTGGATCATGATGCAGCCTGATAATCTAAGGATCTGAAGGAGGGATGATAGAACCAGTTTGCTGAGTACCCTAGCTTGCTTGGGTTATCCTTCTTTTAACTCTGTCTATAACCCACTTTCTCAGATTCGTAATCCTTTTGCTTGGGTTATCCTTCCTTTAACTCTGTCTATAACCCACTTTCTCAGATTCGTGATCCTTTTCAACGTTGCAGGTCTCTGCTTCTCGGCCTCCATCAAGGCGTTTGCGGCAGCTGTTGGCCGGGTCACGTTTTTGCACGAAACCGGCGGGGGGAGTGGACCGCAAAAAGGTGAAGGGGAATAGCAGAATCGAGTGCTTCCTCGATGTAGCCATTGTCAGGGCACGGGAAACCCTAAACGCGAGACCCAAGGAGTACGAGGACCAGAAGACGTCAGGACAGCAGGATCAAACAAAACGGACCAGGGAAACTTGAGCGCCAATGCCCTAGAAGTCAGGGCTTATCGATTTACGGGGTGGGAATGAAAGAAGTACTCACTGCAAGACAACATGCGACCCAACCAAACCGTTACCTAACTTTCGGACGCACCAGAGCTCTAGACCCCCCTAAACCTTTAACCGGAGACCTCGAACTCAAAAACGAAATGGAGCTTGAGAAAACAAGCGACCGCATCAACGATCAAGAGCAGGATGATCGGCGCAGGGAGAATTTTCGGAGCTGCAAGGTTTAGAATTAAGGACTAGAATTTGGGAATCAAGATTGCCCTGTTGTCAGCGCGACTTCGGTGGCTTCTAATCACCCCGTGTATGTATGCTTTTTTGACAATCCACCTACAACTAGTCGTTCTAGGCTATACATACTTAATATGTATGTGTATGCAAACATATACATGTATGTGTATGTGCATATAAACAAATATGATTGTGTATATATATATATATATATATATATATATATATACATATACATATACATGTGTGTGAGTCTGTGACAGAGAGATCTCTTTCCAGTGAAACACGGGCCTTGTGAGAAGCCCAGCAGCACATCGAAAGGACCCTCCTCACAAAAAGCTGGCAACGCTGGGGCTGAAACAAACCACCGGGTTTGAAGCGTTCAGGGCCTGGGTTTTGGGGTTTAGGGCTTGGGGATATCCTGAGCGCTAAACGTGAAACATCAGTTCCCACGTACCAAATCCTAACAGAACCCTCAGCCCCCAAAACACGCCCAAAGTCCTAGACAGTACCCCAAAATTCACACGTTGGACTAAAGAAAAGAATAAAACAGCTTTAAGGGCGTAGGACTGTCATCGGGCCCTGAGAACTGGTTGAAACAGAGTTTAGGCTTCGGGTTTAGGCTTACTGTAGGTGGTCCTATAGTCGGTTGAAAAAGGTTGCATATGCGTGTTGCATGTTGTGGAGCGCTTGACATGAGACGAGTACGACGACCTCGAATCAGGTTCAGCGCAATGGCAAGAGCAGTAGCAAGCGTCAATATTGACAGCCGCAGCAGCAAGAGCGGGGGGCAACCGTAGAAGTGGCAACCATTAACCATCGAACCTCATGTTCGACGTGAACGACCCCAAAGCGTAAACCCTAAACCCCATCCCCTCCAAAGGCCTAGCTTCTAATTAAACCCTAAAGCCTTAAGCCTTTGCAAGGAGCTGCTTTTAAAGCCGTTGAAAAAAAATAGTATATAGGTAAGATCCTCTTAAGCCCAATAAGAGCAAACATAAAATGTCCCAAAGCCGTACCTAGTTTTGCAAGACCCAGAAGAAGAGCGGAGGTCCTCCTCCAGCCGCTTCCGGAGAAGAGCCACCTTCTCAGGAATCTCCACCTTACCGGGTGGTTTTTGGGTTCGGGCGCCTTGGGATTCCCACGGTTTGGGGATCGGGCTTCAGGGTGTGGGGGAGGGGGGCTTGAGTTTTCGGGATTCGGCCTTTAGGGCTTTGAGGTTGCTTTAAAGGGCGTTTTAGGGTTTAGGGTTTAGGGTTGCTTTAAAGCGTTGTTTTGGGGTTTTGGGCTTCTTGGGGCTTCTTGGGGCTGGTTGAAGCTTGAAGCTTCAGTGGGCGGACTGACCTTCCTGTGCCCACTGCAGCGATCTCCAAGGCCCTCTAAGCTCCCCAAGAGCCCACGAAAAAAAAAACTGAAATGAACCCCAAAAAACGAAACAAATCCAGGGCACAGATTCCACGTCAACGGTGGGGTCGAACTGCTTCTCCAGGATCGGGCGGTCCTGTCAAGGAGCCAATGCATTGGGGCTGGTAGCTTCCACCGTTAGGGCGTAGGGTTCTAAGTGTTCTGGGTTCCAGTTGATTCGACAGGGTTTCATAAGGGCGTTGTTAGAGTTGTTATGTAGTTGTATGGTGCATTACAAGCGTTTTTGTAAGGGTCTTTGCCGGACATATGAGGCTCGTCATGTTTCAGAGGAGATGGTAAGTCTAAGCCTTACATTGACATTGACACGCTTCAATATCAAGGGCAACCAGTCGCGGGGGTTCAGGAACTGGTCCCAAAATTTGTACTGTTCACACACACTTGACACAATGTGTCGCAGGTCTGTGAAGTCAGCATAAGTCAGGAGAAGTCAGAACCTTCAAACATGACTAGCATGGGGTCTCCAGGCTCATCAACATGGCAGCAACTAGAACTTTGACTGGCAAGAGTGCCTCGCTAGCTGCCCACGACGGGGCCCAGGCGCAGGCAAAGCAGGTACGTTTTCCTAGGGTGTAGGGGAGAGCTTCGTTGGACGGAGCTCCCCTGCACCCCCTCCGTCCCCCTGCTCATTCGACTCATATTTGCCTACCCTTCGAAACAGGGGTGGACACACACAAGCCCTCTCGGGCTCGTTGCAGCCGTTCGAAACACCGGTCAACATACACATGCAATTTCGAACTTACTGACAGGAAACGCTCACGTACATAACCCATGCATGACAATGCAATCACTTGCACGACACTTGCATGACAATGCGCACTCACTTGTCCAGATCCTTGCACATCACTTGCACGTCCCTTGCACGTCACTTGCACGTCACTTGCACCTACAGAACTGCAAACTCAAAGCTGGACTCCGACATGACCTGAATTTGTGTACAGGCTACTGGTCTCTCAGCAATCATTTCCAGCATGTGTCACGAAACTGCAGAGTCTACGCATTCCAACATAGGCGAACAGCACTGATGACACGAAACTGAAGTATACGCATTCCAACATTGGCGAGCTGCACTCATGTCACGAAACTGCAGAGTCTACGCATTCCAACATATGCAAACCGCACTCATGTCACGAAGCTGCAGAGTCTACACATTCCAACATATGCAAACCGCACTCATGTCGCGAAACTGCAGTCTACAAGTCGCAAAAGCAAGCAAACACATGGACTGAACCGATCACTCCAGCCGTGCAGACCCCTGCTCGTTCGACTCAGATTTGCCTACCCTTTGAAACAGGGGTGGACACACACAAACCCAAGCTGTTCATAAGACTCTTGCCCTTCCGGACTTATTGACAACAGCGTCTCAAAGCAGAAAGTCTACGAAACTGCAGAGTCTACGCATTCCAACATAGGCGAACCACACTCATGTCAGAGAGTCTACACATGGCAACATAGGCAAACCCGCACTCGTGTCACCAGTCTGCAGAGTCTACGCATTCCAACATCGGCAAACCGCACTCATGTCACGAAACTGCAGAAACTACATTCCAACATTGGCGAGCCGCACTCATGTCACGAAACTGCAGAGTCTACGCATTCCAACACATGCAAACCGCACTCATATCACGAAACTGCAGAGTCTACGCATTCCAACATATGCAAACCGCACTCATGTCGCGAAACTGCAGTCAACGAGTGGCAAAAGCAAGCAAACACATGGACTGAACCAAGCACTCCAGCCGTGCAGACCCTTGCTCGTTCGACTCAGATTTGCCTACTCTTTGAAACAGGGGACTTATTGACAGCAGCGTCTCAAAGTAGAAAGTCTACGAAACTGCAGAGTCTACGCATTCCAACATAGGCAAACCACACTCATGTCAGAGAGTCTACGCATTGCAACATAGGCAAACCCGCAACAATTGACTCTGCACAGCACAACTTCTCGCAAACACATAGGACCTTGTACTGTTGCATGTCACTTGCACGGCACTTGCACCTCCCTTGCACATCACTTGCACGTCCCTTGCACGTCACTTGCACGTCACTTGCACCTACAGAACTTCAACCTCCGACCCCTGAAGCACAGCTCTCTCCACAAGCTTCACTCCTACACGACAAAACGCCGTGCTCTTGTCTACGTCACACTCAAGCACTGTTACGGTTTCATCAAAGCTTCGCACAAATGACATGGGTATCCAAGATTTGCTAACCACCGCACAAAGTTGTGAACAGCAATTTCAGCCTAACACGTTGGCCAAGTGTACTTGCGGATGAGAGAAACTCTCGACTTCGCTTCTGACACAAGCAAAAGCATGAACACACAACACTCGCACATCACTCATTGACTGCCTGCACATACCTTACAGATCACTTGCACTGCACTTGCACATCCCTTGTGCACGACGACACGCACTCAGTTGCACTGCTCTTGCCGATCGCGGCGTCCGGTTCACGACGGTGGCTGCTTTGGCTCGGGCAACATCACGAATGTAACTGCATGAATGGTCACCTTCGACGCCTCCCATGGGAATTCTTGAATGCGTCAAAGCATGTCACTTGCATAACTCTTGCACATCCCTTGCACGTCACTTGCTGGGCGCTTGCGCATCTCTCGCACAACCCTACTGCTTCAGAAACTTCCATTGCCCTTCTCTCGCACATCACTTGCATGTCCCTTGCTTGCACAAACCTCCGTCTGCACAGCACAACTTCTCGCAAACACATAGGACCTTGTACTGTTGCATGTCACTTGCACGGCACTTGCACCTCCCTTGCACATCACTTGCACGTCCCTTGCACGTCACTTGCACGTCACTTGCACCTACAGAACTTCAACCTCCGACCCCTGAGGCACAGCTCGCTCCAGAAGCTTCACTCCTACACGACAAAACGCCGTACTCTTGCACTTGCACAACACTTGCGATGCAGCAAAGCAGAGAGATGCGCACTCCGAACGCATGTAGGCATGCACGCATTCACCACAGACGAAAAACGTTTGCCAAACTTGCACTTGCACAGTACTCAAACCGCAGTCATGTCGCGAAACTGCAGTCTACGAGTCGCACAAGCAAGCAAACACATGTACTGAGCCAATTACTCCAGCCGCACAGATCCCTGCTCGTTCGACTCAGATTTGCCTACCCTTTTACGAAACACCGGTTGACATACACACGCCCTTCCGGACTTATTGACAGCAGCGTCTCAGAGCAGAAAGTCTACGAAAGTGCAGAGTCTACGCATTCCAACATAGGCGAACCACACTCATGTCAGAGAGTCTACGCATTCCAACATAGGCAAACCGCACTCACGTCACAAATCTGCAGAGTCTACGCATTCCAACATCGGCGAACCGCACTCATGTCACGAAACTGCAAAATCTACGCATTCCAACATCAGCGAACCGCACTCATGTCACGAAACTGCAGAGTCTACGCATTCCAACATCAGCGAACCGCACTCATGTGTCACTAAACTCCAGAGTTTACGCATTCCAACATAGGCGAACCGCACTGATGACACGAAACTGAAGCACACGCATTCCAACATTGGCGAGCCGCACTCATGTCACGAAACTGCAGAGTCTACGCATTCCAACATATACAAACCGCACTCATGTCACAAAACTGCAGAGTCTACGCATTCCAACATATGCAAACCGCACTCATGTCGCGAAAACTGCAGTCTACGAGTCGCACAAGCAAGCAAACACATGTACTAAACCAATCACTCCAGCCGTACAGACCCCTGCTCGTTCGACTCAGATTTGCCGACCCTTTGAAACTTTGAAACCGGGGTGGACACACACAAGCTCTGCCGGGCTCATTGTAGCCGTTCGAAACACCGGTTGACACACACACGCCCTTCCGGACTTATTGACAGCAGCGTCTCAAAGCAGAAAGTCTACGAAACTGCAGAGTCCACGCATTCCAACATAGGCGAACCACACTCATGTCAGAGAGTCTACGCATTCCAACATGGGCAAACTACACTCATGTCACAAATCTGCAGAGTCTACGCATTCCAACATCGGCGAACCGCACTCATGTCACGAAACTGCAAAATCTACGCATTCCAACATCAGCGAACCGCACTCATGTCACGAAACTGCAGAGTCTACGCATTCCAACATCGGCGAACCGCACTCATGTGTCACGAAACTGCAGAGTCAACGCATTCCAATATAGGCAAACCGCACTGATGACACGAAACTGAAGTCTACGCATTCCAACATTGGCGAGCCGCACTCATGTCACGAAACTGCAGAGTCTACGCATTCCAACATATACAAACCGCACTCATGTCACGAAACTGCAGAGTCTACGTATTCCAACATATGCAAACCGCACTCATGTCGCGAAAACTGCAGTCTACGAGTCGCACAAGCAAGCAAACACATGTACTAAACCAATCACTCCAGCCGTACAGACCCCTGCTCGTTCGACTCAGATTTGCCTACCCTTTGAAACTTGGAAACAGGGGTGGACAAACACAAGCTCTGCAACAGTCTGCTGTATGTCAAGCAAGTTGTTCAGGCCAGCACAGACGTCCCTATGACCTCGAACATGAGTCAAGTTTGCCGACATGATTGCTGAATATTCAGCAAAATCGGCCACTGATCGAAATGACAACTTAAAACCTGTGCGATCCGCATGAAGCGTGATTGCTGGCGGCACGTCTTGCTGCAGAACTTGCTGACGGTTTTGATGAACTACAGAAGGACCAGGCTGATCACTTGCTACACGCAAAGCAGGATACTCAGTAGCTATCAAACGCACAGCTTTCCTACTTCGCTTCCAGCCGAAGACCTGCGACAAGTCAGTGGGAAAGTCAGCTCGGTGAAGTCACTGTCATAATAAAGAAGTCAATGGTGAAGTCAGCTTTCAGGTTTCGGTGAAGACGTGGTGAATTCACTGGGAAAGTCAGCTTGCAAGCATGGATATAAAGTCAGAGAAAGTCATCCGATGCTTATAGAATCAATCGGGAAAGTCAGCCGCCAGAGCTACCTCTGGGAGACACGGCGCCCATAGGGAATGCCGTTGTGAATCACACTTGACACAATGTGTCGCAGGTCTGTGAAGTCAGCATAAGTCAGGAGAAGGCAGAACCTTCAAACATGACTAGCATGGGGTCTCCAGGCTCATCAACATGGCAGCAACTAGAACTTTGACTGGCAAGAGTGCCTCGCTAGCTGCCCACGACGGGGCCCAGGCGCAGGCAAAGCAGGTACGTTTTCCTAGGGTGTAGGGGAGAGCTTCGTTGGACGGAGCTCCCCTGCACCCCCTCCGTCCCCCTGCTCATTCGACTCATATTTGCCTACCCTTCGAAACAGGGGTGGACACACACACACCCGCGCGCGCGCGCGCGCCGGCCCCGAAACGCTAAACCCGAAAGTCGGAGTCCTGGAACCCTGCAGGCCCGAAAGCCTTTCAGCCAAAGCGCTGAAGCTTTGGACTTAAAACACACATGGCCTTTAAGGCCAGAGCACAGATGCTCAGGGCTCCAGGATCTGTAAAAGGTCCAGGGCTTCCTACAGCCCTACAGAATTCACGCATTTAAAACCCTTGTAAAGCCTTCGTCGAGCCTAAAACAATGCACAGTAACCTGAAGAACATCTCGTCCTGCTTGCAGTGGTAGATGTCCTCATACCAGGATATCAACTGCTGGCCTTCAAGCGATCGAAGGGGCCCTTGTTCCGAAAAGCGGCCGAAACCCTGAAGCCTCAAAAGGCGCGCAGCTCTATGAGTATGAGTATGACATGATGATCACGAAGATGAAGGAAGTGCTTGTAATGGTGCTGCTGAAGTTGATCATGCTCGTGATGGAGATGGTGATGGTGATGATGGAGATGAGTAGATGCCTGTGACAACGACGAACAACGTAAAGAAGCTACGACACTGCTGCTGAGGGCCACGATGATGTCAATGACGAAGATGAAGATGGCGACGAGAATGAAGACGGTGTTGTCGGAAATGAACACAAAAATCGACGACAAGGACAACGTCAACATGATCGTGTTCATGAGCATCGTCATGATAATGAGTATGATGGTTATGATGTTGATGAAGAAGAAGATGGTGATGATGATGGCGATGGTGATGATGTTGATGAAGAAGAAGATGGAGATGATGGTGATGATGATGATGATGATGATGATGACGATGATGGTGATGGCGATGGTGCTGGTGATCGTGGTGATGGTGGTGATGGTGGTGATGATAGTCATGATGGTGGTGGCAGTGATGATGGTGGGTGCTGGTGATGACGGAGATGCCAGAAAACGTCGTGATGCTGTAGCTGAAGTTGGAAGGTCGAGCGGGATGAGCAAAGAAAAACGACGAACAGGAAGAGGAGCACATCGTCGTTCTGGTTCGTGCTTAAGAGCGGAGGCGTGCGTGTAGCTGCGGCTTCGGCACGCTTGCCAGCCACCGTCCTCTCGAAGTCGCTCAGCTGCTCCTGCATGGGTTCTAAATCAACACCCGACAGTTCTGCAAACTAGCGGAGCCATCATGATCACCACCATCGACAGCAGCAGCAATGCCATCTTCAGCTTCGTGACAATCTCTGCGAACATGATCTTCAACATCACGCCACTTACAGCTGCACCAACAGCCAACTGAAGCAGGTTTCGTACGGAAGCAACTTTACGACTTATCTCCACACCCGCTGTTTGATCATGAACCTGGAACCCCAACCGTATTCTAGGAACCCTTAACTCCCAACCTGAACCCATTAACCCCGACCCCGACCACAAGCCATCAACCCTCCTCAAGTCTTAAGCCTAAAGGTCCCAAAAACAATGTTCAGACCCCCAACAGACCCCCAACCGATTCGCTCCGACAGCTCCCATGGATGGAAGACGGTGCCCTCGGCATAGGTCCACTCCACTGCATCCTCGAAGCAAGTATTGAACGTTTAACGTATGGGCTTAAACAAGTCGACCAGGGTTTTGGTAGTCTTTGATACTATACATAGCAGAGAACCTGAAGGAACGATGGTTCAGACCGAACTCAAAAATGATGGGAGACCCATGCCAAAAACTCTCAGAATAGCCAGAAGCTTCTTAGTCAGGGTCCTGCATATGATTTTAAAGACTTGAATGCTTCGACCATGGGGCTCAGAGCTTGGAATTTGGAGGGGGTGATGCTTCTGGTTCTGGCCAGTTTCGTGTCGTTGAGGGTGATATGGCATTGAATGGATGAGTTGCGGTAGCTCTCTGAGCTTTTCGCTGTCTTGCCGCGGAATGATTTCGAGACTTAATGGTTCGGGGGGGTACGACGCATGTCTGGGAAGTAAACCCGCAAAATCCTCAAAAGCACACATCCCTCCGTCTATTCCTTTGCAAATCCCCGAATAAAGGCAGCCTTGGTACGAACTCGGCAATGCAGCGAATTTCGAGAAAGATGCAAACGGCTGTCAAGCGCAGCTTTCCGTCCCAGCAGAGAGGCTTTAGAGTAGGGTTCAGGATTTGGGGTTTAGCCTTGCGAGCTCTGGGCTTGGGTGTGATCTGATGGAGGCTGAGTAATCAGCCAAGCCATGTTTTGCTCAAGACTTCCACACGACCCTGCATCCAGTCTCCTTGCCGAGCAGCGCAGCAAGCTGGCCACACCTGCAGTACTTCGACATGCAAACCCCAAGGTGATTCACGAGCTTCACCCATGGATTCATGAGCCCCCACACCCTGAACCCTAAACCGTCCACCATGCTGTTATGATTGGCTCGGACAGGACGGAGCTGCGCCCCTGATCTGACATCCTATTGTAAGGGTTTCTCATAATTCGAGTAGGTCCTGTGGAGCGGTACACTCGAACTAGATCGGGACTCTTCGTAACTATTCTCTTTAATTATTACCCTTTGCAGATCGTCAAAAGCCTAACCACAGGAATTCACCCGGATTTCCTGGGACGCCAACGGATACGAATGGACCTAAACCAGTCTGGGGGTTGCCTCGAGAATCACGACTCCCGGACCCTGGCTTGCAGAAAAACACCTCGGAACGTCAGAACAGGCCATCCCTGAAAACAACGGCGATCACGTCTAAGGCCTTAAACCCTAAACCCTTAAACCCTAAACCCCAAACCCCTCAACCCTTAAACCCTAAACCCCTCAACCCTTAAACCCTAAACCCCTCAACCCTTAAACCCTAAACCCTTGCTGCCCACTTCGAAAGGCCCTTTGGGCTCCTGAGCTTCGATCCACTTCCCGAAGATGGAAATGCTTGATCAAGGTTCAGGCGGTCAAGGGCCCTGAGTTTAGGGTTTAGGGGTTAGGGTTTAGGGGTTTAGGGTTTAGGGTTTGGGGGTTTAGGGTTTAAGGGTTTAGGGGGTTAAGGGTTTAGGCCGCTTTAGGCTTTAGGCTTTAGGTCTCAGGGTCTACGGTGTAGGGCTTAGGGTTTCGCGTTTAGGATTTAGGGTTTAGGATCTATTGATGGTGGTCAGCCTTTAGGGCTACGGGCTTAGGGTTTAGTGGCTTGGTGATGCAAGCCGAAGCTTCGACACAGAGCCGCCAAGATGCTGGAACTTCAGAAGCTCCTTGCAAGTGATGCTGCCTCAGTTTGCTCGGTCTGTTGGACTTTGATGTGATCCCCTAAGCCCTAAACCTTAAACGATAAGGCGATCTTGGAGTACGGCTCTTGGCATTTGGGATCTCGGGCCATATGCCTTCTCACTTTTGATGATCATCAAGAGCAACAGCCGGAGTAGGAGAAGGAGGAGGAAAAAGAAGGTAGAGGAGCAATGACTCTAATGCGAGTATCAGTATCTGGTAGCAGCAGCCACGAGGATAATGGCAGTATTCGTCGACATCCTGGTCCTAGTACTGGCGGTAGTAATCGGAGGATCAGCAGAATTTGGGAGTTTCCGAAAATTAAGTGGTACCTTATTTGGGGTCCTTATAATATGGATCCTACTACTTAGGGTACTATATTGGGGTCCCCTTTTTTTCGGAAACTCCCATTTGGCTTCATTTCTGATGGTCCTTTCTGGTTGAGTGTCCTAATTGGAGCTCTTGGTGCGCTAAAGCCCTAAACCCTTAAAGCTTTAAGCCCTAAATAGACCCTAAACCCTTAGCCCTAAACGCTGTAGTAGAGCCCTAAACTCTAAACCCTTAAAGCCTGAGGTAAGGTGCCTCCTTGTCCTCATCCCGGCTCTGCGGCAACAGGGAGTGCTGGAAACATCAATTAACGCAGTAACTAGTCCTAGTTGCTGAGTTCATAAGCCCCAAAAAGTGTACACTTTCAGTTTTATAGTGGGTAATATTATCCCAAAAGTATAAAGTGTATCCATTCAGCTACTAAGTAGTGATATAATGAGGGTATCTACACTTGGAACTGTTTGTAACCCCAAGTAAAGTAACCCTCCGCAGGCTCGAGTTTCGTTCAGGGATTCTCCGGGATATCGAATTCGTGCGGTGGCCTCTCATGGCACTCTGTTCATGCCCTGGCACCTGCCAAAGCGAAGATGCGCAGCTTCCTGGACGAGGGCGCAGACGGCGCGGACCTCGATCGGACAGTCCATGATGTAAGCTTTAGGCTTTAAAGCACTGCTTTGGGTCTCCTCTCTTACAGCATTTGTTAAGACGCTTAATCCCAAGGCAATTCGCATAGAGCCATAAACCACATGCCCCTGGGTGATGCAAATCTCTTCAAGCAGGCGGATGAAAATCTACAGCACGTCTCTGCTCTTCTCTGAAGGTAAGCATACAATTTGCTTCTGTGGATCTCTTTACAAAAAGGAGCCTAACCCTGAATCCGTTACAATACCAACACGAGTCTGAAAGGCTTCATCTTCAGTCGGTTGCGTAAGATTTCTTGGTGCTTAGGGGTGTGATTCATCAAGTTTGTGTACATAAGGTGTCAGAGTCCGCCTTCACAGTGCGACATCATGCGCGGAAGTATTCGAGGTGGGCATCACCCACGTACATTCGCGTGCATGCATGCAACAACCCCTAAACCCAACCCCTGAGTCAGAGGACATAGGTAAACTGAAGACTCACAGTCACAGGTTCACTAAGGCGGCTTTTGTACTGGAATTTCTTCTGACAGTGATGTACTTTGATTCTCTATGGTTCTGATTGCGAGTATCAATAATGAACTGTATGCTTCTCGTTGTTGTCAGCATTCGTTCGAACGAGCATGCGCACGTCCGTTCTTATCAGCCGAGGCACGATGGCGCGGCAGGGATTGCCGCCTGTCTGAACGTGACTGCACCCTCTCCACGACAGAACCCCGCAGCACAACAGGCTTCCCTGAAACCACCCGGATCGCAAGCTACACTTGAAAAGCCCCAAACCCCGTGGGTGTGGGTTCAGATGCCGGTTTGTGTGGGCCGGAATAACATAGAGGTCCTGAAGAATTCACTAGATTACTCCTCAAGGTTCCTGCCGAAAAAAATATTAGCGGGTGGCCCTAAACCCACTCTAATTCTTACGGCCCCTATATTACGAAATGCCTCGGGTTTCGGGCTGAGACATCCAAGGCCAGCAAACATGGCAGGCAAGGCAGCCGGCACTTGTTGACTTGAACTGATTCGATCATTCGCCGCATTTTCAGCGTGCGTTAGTTCTGAAGACAGAACACATCAGACGAGAGTGCTAGACTCGGATTGCGGATGCCAGGCCCGCAACTCAACAAAACCCCTACCAATCCTAAAAGCTAAATCCAACAGGACAAAAAACAGCTCCTACAACAACTCCGAGCCACCAGACTGCAATCGCCCTACGCGCCCGGATCAAACCCAACCCCAACGCCCTGCATTGTCGAAGCCTGACTAAATACTCATACTGTTCGGTCGTCCTACGAAAAGTAGAGCGCGGGGGGTTCAGGATGTAGAGATGCAGCATGTGTTACATCCCAAAACCCTACTGTATAAGACCGCTATATAGGAGTTTCCGATCATAGGGGATCCTAATATGGTACCCTAAATAGTCGGATCCTTAGTATAAGGGCCCAAAACAAGGTGCCCCTAATTTTCGGCAACTCCCAGATCAAAACGACCTTGAGCCGTGAGGCCTGGTGGGAGGCCGCCTTTTTCAGCAGCTCCTTCCCGCCGACCTGTGAGCGACTTCAATCCGACCCAGACAATTCCGATTACGTTTAGGGTTTCTGGTTTCGGGGTTTTTTTTGTGGTTTAGGGTTTAGGGTTTGGGGCTCAGGATCTAACAAGGCCCCATGGGAACAGGGCCTGCAAAGAGTGTTGTTCCGAAGGGCTCAAAGTATGTCAGGTCTCGGTCTTCTGTAGTTATAGGATGGCCTTGATTTAACCTGTTAACCCTGAACCCCAAACCCTCAACACCCTGAACCCTCAACCCGAAACCCTTCACTCCCAAATCCGGAACCCTAAATCATTGAAGCTGGTGTGATCTTCTCCACTGGGTTTTAGGGCTGAGATTTCGTTTTCGGTGTCAGGTGTTACAGGTTGAGGACTTTAAGAACGATTGTAATGCATGGGCAGCAATACACAGAAGATTGGGGGGGTACATCTGGAACTTTGTCTAAACATATAAACACATGGCTATCTTGTGAAAATTATGGCGGGATCGTAAGTGCTGGCACTATTGCGCATGTGTCGGGATCCCTTGGCCAGACCTTGACAGTCTCGCCTCCGAAATACATCTCTCTCATGCACGGCTATGCTGTAGCTACATAACTCCTGTGCACAACTTAGCAACTTATAGCAACTAAGAGGCAGTTGTCTTCCTCTGCGTGCGACTGTTCACCCCAAGCCTGCAACAGATCCTTAAAGCCCCCAAAAAACGAAAGAGCTAAATGTATATCTTTGCTTAACTTGGGGAAAGCCTTAAACAGCATGCATGCATGCCTTTTTGTACGTACCCTGCATACATACATAGGTACGTACATATGTATGCATGTACGCATTTATGCACGTATGTGTTTGAATATCTATGCACGTCTATCTGTATGGAGAGATAGATAGAGAGAGAGAGAGAAAGAAAGAAAGAAAGAAAGAAAGAGAGCAAGAAAGAAAGAAAGAAAGAAAGAAAGATACAACATAGAAGTAAGGCTTCAAAGCAGCAGAGACAAAACTTCACACACCCAGCGGGTGCCTGTAGGCTTACATAGCCTTCTTCTGGGCCGCTCCCGGCGAGCCGCGCGAAGTGGAGCCTTCCGTCTTTGGGCGGCTCCAGCTCCTTCGGCTTTAGGGGTTCGGGGTTCAGGGTTTAGGGTTTAGGGTTCAAGGTTCTTTTTCTTTTAAAAAAAATGCAATGGCCCTTTCAAGGTTCAGGGTTTAGGGTCTGGGGTTTGTGTTAGAGTTCAGGGTTCAGGGTCCTTCGGTTTGAAGCTTGCTTGGTATAAGGGTGGTTATCTAAGTTAGGGGCGCTCTTTCTGTCTCCAAAGATAATACGGCACCCATATTTAAAGGGCCCTACCAAAAAAGGGACGCTAATTTAGAGAACTACCCAGACCGTTCTAAAATTGTTGACTTCAAGGCTTTGGTATTCTTCTGCGGGGTTTAGGGTTTGGCGTTCTACCGTTTTGTGTTCCGAAGGCTGTGTAAGGACCGTAAGGATGTCTCATAACAGCTTTATCTAGGTTCTTGAAGGAAGCTAGACCGGCTGGAGGGTTTTTGTTTTCCGGTTAGGGCAAATTGTAACTGTAGGTGCCTGAACATTGTTATGTAAGGATGCAAAATTGCGCACAGGCTCAGGAAGTTTCGGGCTTCCAAGACGCTAGGGCTCAGGGTGCAAGGGTTTGGCCTAAACTCCTGGATCCTAGACCCCAAAATCGCTTCCCAGGAGCCCTAAATTAACCCGAATTAGACCGAAACAGTAGTCCACCCAAAACAACCCTCGAAAACATCTCATAGAGGCCTTGTAGAATTCTGACAGAACCCAAGCAACGACCCGCAGAACGTTCCCAAATGAAACCGCAGAGTCCTTCACCCACGAACCGGTCCTCAGTTGACCAGAGCCGCAAAACCTCTGCTCCTGAATCGGCCTTTAGAAGCTTTGAGCATCCCTTCTCATGCAAGGATTCCTGCACAACCCAGCTCGAGGGCAACATGAGTGACAGCGGCGGATGAAATTGTGACATCGGACATGGGGTTTGCGATTGTTCCGCTGGCTGCACTGGGTCCGGGCACTGCGAATGCTATGACTTCTTCAAGGTTATACCAAACACTCCACTGCTCTCAAGATCCAGTTATGTAGAGTGACCTGCCGTCACGTTGCAGAATTCTCTGTTAAATACTAGCATACCCGAGGGCCCAAACCCTGGTTCCTAAACACCCGTCATCTATACCCTAAACGCCTCAAGCTCCTAAACCCCAATTTCGGACATCACCCGCAAAGTAAACAAGCGCCAAATGAAATCCCAATCTCTCAACCATGCACCCTAAACCGTGACACCTAAACCGCAAACCCCCAAAACCGTAAACCCTGAACCCTAAGCCCCCACACCCTAAACCCTAAGACCAAAACCCAAACCCACAAACCCTGAACCCTAAACCCCTGAACAGAATCCCCTCAAACTCCCTGGCCCGCAGCAGGGAAGGGGCGTGGGTTGCTGGGACTACTATAGGGAACCTTAAGGGGCTATCATATAGATCCATTCCCCCATTCCCTGCTAAGAACCAGACAGCGAACTGCCCCACACCCTAAACCCTAAAACCAAAACCCTAAACCACAAACCCTGAACCCCTGAACAGAATCTCCTCAAAATGCCACAACCAAGTCTCGCAAGGCGCTCCTCCAACGCTTCCGACGTCAGGTCACGTCCTCGGAGCATCGGAGTCAAAAAATCGGTTTAAGGGCTTAGGCTTTAGGGGTTTAGGGGTTTAAGGGTTTAGGGGATTAGAGGTTTAGGGGTTTAGGGTTCTGGTATGGGCGCTTAATACTAAGATCCTTATTTGCCTACTATATACCCCCATCCTCTTTCTTCAGAAGAGTCCTTGAGGATTTGATTAGGGATTTAGATGGAGCTTACGATTTAGTTGCTGCGGGAGTTTAGGGTTTGGATTGAGGCTGGTAGGGCTTAGACCTACGATCCACAGAATAGGGCGTTGCATTTGTTAAGGTTTAGGGCTTTAGAGTTTGGGGTCTGGGGTCTGGGCTTTAGCAGAAAGTCCGAAACACCTGAACACAGGCAAACACTGGCCAGACTAAGAGTGCTTGAGGTAGCAGTTTTCCGCAGCAAGGCGTATCACAGTGTTGCGCCTTGTGCTCTGCCACACTGGTGTGGCTGTGCTGTGCTACATTGCGCGATGGCACGTTCCAATATGTGACGCACTACGTTCTGTGTTTTCCGTTGCGTTCTACATCATGCTCTGTTGCTTCATAGTGCATCAATATGTTGCGTTCCCTTATCGCGGATGTCGCTTGCACCATGAAGTGGTGAACCGTGTTTAGGGTTCAGGCGAGAGTAAGCCCGGCCCTCAGCCGTCCCAGCCCTAAACCCTAAAGCTTCAAGTCCTGAGCTGAATCCGAAACCAAGGCCCGTGAATCCTGAGCCCTGTCCGTTTTAAGGGACCGAATAGTAGGACCCCGACTTCCTGACATGATTAACCCACATTTTGGGATCTTGTCAATCAGTGAGGGGTCTCAAACCCTAACCCCCACCCCTAAACCAAAAACCTAAACCCGTAACCCCTACACCGACCACCCTGGACCCCACCTCATCTTCCCTTTGGTTAGTAGGGAATGGAGGAATGGGGTACAAGTATAACTACTATTACTACCATTCTTCCATTCCCTTTTGACCAAAGGTAAGTCGTTAAACCCGAATCTTCAACCCAACTCCTGGCCAGCCGCCTCGACGCACCAAGAGCCCCCCCTTCTCCCCGCCGCCAACGACCTCCCAGAGATCGCTCCGAGCAGCCAGCAGCCTGGGTATTGCTTACCTTTGGTTAGTAGGATCCTCATTTTAAGGACCCCCCAAAAAAGGTACCCCTAATCAATGTTCGGAAACTCCCTAATCACTTAACAAACCCGCAAAACTCTAAAGCCTTACCTCGGGGTAATAGGGAATGGAAGAATGGTAGTAATAGTAGTTATAGTTGTACCCCATTCCTCCATTCCCTGCTGACCAAAGGTAAATAATGTTGCAAGTCCGGGAGTTTAGGATTCTCAACGGGCTTCATCAGGGTCCCTAAACCCTAAAGCCTAAAAGGTTCTATGAGGGAGTAGGGATGAGGGAGTAAGAGGTTTGGGATTGAGAGTTTTTCAAGTTGACGGAGGAAGGATGAAGGGCTTCAATAGGGACCTTCTAAACGCTCTTTGAGGGCTTGTCTTTGGGTGTTCTAGAAGTTGCACTGGCTCCTGGAAGCGAGTCAAAAAATTCAGGGACCGGAATACGACGGTAGGATTCTCACTTAAAAGACCCCAAAACCCCAAAACTGAAACCCCGAAAAAGTCTGACAGCCAACACTGGGGGGTAGACTGAGGTTTGAGGGCCCTAAACCATAAAAAAAGGAATTGAATGAAAAGCTGATGGCACGAATGAATCATCCATTCAGGGTTTGGGGTCGAGGGTTTAGGGTTTAGGGTCGCTATCCCGATTCTTCCCTTCCCTGCACGTTGCGCGTCGCATCCGAAGGCCTTTCCCTGCATCTAAGGGCGAGCTGAAGGACCCCTACTGGGAGGATCATGGAGCTGTTTAAGTCACCACAGACAAGTGTAGTTAAGTTCCTAACAACTCCAGCTACTACGTCTCAAGATCCCTTAAGTACGATGTTAGTAGACTCGGTGTAAAGTCTACCGCGACGATACGCTCTGAGCAACTATAAGGGTTATGACGAACATTCCCTTGTGCTCACAAATTAGCAACACGACTGTGTATTGAGGGTGGGCTTCTCAGCCGAAGGCCGCGATTCGCAGTCTGCGTGCCTGAGACATAATTGAGGAGCAATTAGACCCAAAACCCGAAACTTGCAATCCTCCTCCCGTCTTCTTCTGCCACGCCACGGCTTGCCTTGCGACGCACAAGAGATCCACCCCGTCTGCGGGCCCTGCCACAGCCGAGAGCTCAAGAGCTTTTCGGGTCGTGGGCCAAGTGTCCCAGACTCTCAAAATCGAACATGGAAAGCCCTAGCCCTGTATGAAAGCTAGCCAAGACATCTTTTTTAGGGCTTACATCTCATTCGCAAACCCGGAAAACCTTTTAAACACCAGCCTGGCCAAAGAGGAGCTCGTAGCACAAGCGATCGCCATCCTAAAACGGTTTAGCGTTCACTGTTTAGAGTCCAGGGCTCAGGGTTTTGGGGTCGAGCCGCCGGAATGAACGTCTGTTGCCCGGAACTCCCAAAGATCGCAAACCCTCCTAATTCAGCTGCATACCTTTAAGTTATAGACGGATCCTGACTGTAGCCGACTTGTGTCATCTTCCACATGTATGAAGTTCAGGGTTTAGGAATAATCGGGTATTTTGTCAAGTTGTTGAATTGAAAGCCAACATAATGACAATGCTATCATCCCTTTGCCACGTCTATTCCGTCTACTCCTTTCTTGCGGCTGTGGCTTCCGGGGCTTGGGAGGTGCGATTCGGGCTTCAGGGGCCAGGGCTTCGGGTTTGGGTCCTCATGTTTAGGGTTACGTTTTTTTAAGGGTGGCTTAAGGTTAGGATTCTTTCGCATTTGGCCTTCTTTTAGGCTTTGCAACGTGGGACTTCGCGGCCTTGCACACACCTAAAAACCATGACCAAGAACCTTGAGATCTAAACCCTCGCACCTTAAGGCCCTAAACCTCCTAACCCCTTCTAGAACCCGTCTAGAGACTCGAAACCTTAAACCCCTCAACCCTTAAACCGTGCAGCCTAACCTAAACCTTAAACGGTATATAAACCCCTAAACCCTGAACCGGAAGCCCTGAACCCTAAACCCTAAACCCCCCCTCCCCCCCAAGGAGCCCCACCCTTTGGCAGCACGCGCCTTCTCGAGTTGCCGGACGAAGGCGCCCGTCTGCAGTCGGTCAGCCAAGGGCTCGGAGCTGGTGTCCTGCAACACGAGGTTTTTTTTTTGGTTTGGGGGTGTGGGAGCGTAGGGTTTGGGGGTTTTAGGGTTTAGCAGTTGGGGATAGTTGGGGTGTTGGGTTTTGGGCAGTTATCTAAACGTGAAACCTTTTTGTTGGATCACTGCAAAAGACGCCTCATGTACGTGATAAGGACCCCGCATGTCTAAACGAGACCTGGTCCGGAAAACACTAGGTGGCCTGGGGCTCTGGGTGCTGCCTGCAGGGGCATGGGGTTAAGCATCTCTTTGTGTGCTTCGGGCGCTTTACAGGTCTACTGAGTGTTCTCGGCAGAGAAACTTTACGAGGCAGAGGCGGCTCTAGAGTACGGTGTTCTCTCTTGCCTGCTGCATGTCAGGTTTAGGGACTACTGCTCCGGAAGAACCCCTAAACTCTAACCTTAATCCTAAACCCTATAAACCCTAAACCCCTGCAGCAGTGGTAAGCCTCAAGCGTCGAAGTTCAAGCCCTGTCTCCCGAAACCTGCGAGCTCTGAGCCGTCAACCCCCAAACAACATCCTGGGTTCTTTTAATGGGAAGCAAGCTTAAGGCCCAAAGCCTCGTGGTAGTCCAGGGTTCTTGTTGAGGGTTTTGATTTAAGTTACCATCATAAGAAACCATATGTTTTACTATAGATCCCTTTTATGTTAACCTGAATTAAACCCCTTAACAAGAACCCAGCCCACACACCGCGAACGCCAAGCCGAGAGCCTAGCCTCAGCCTTGCTACACCCGCAAACCAAACTCTTCAGCCCTTATCATCTGCACTTTGTTCGGATAGCCAACGTTGATAGAATGTAATCTGTAAAACACAATATGCTATGATATATGTACTATAATGTCAGATTGTAATTAACTACATTGCAGCCCAGCCACCAAGCCCGAACCCTAAGTCCAAAGACCTGCAACTATCAAGACGGTTAACAGCTCCAAACCCAAAGCCCCAACAATCCACTACTGTAACCGAAACCCCACGTCGGAAACCGAACCACCAAGCCCCAAAAGTACAACAGCTCCAGATCCTAATCAAAAGCCGCGAAGCCTGATCCGTGCACCCACCGAAGAGAAGGACAGTGCACCCCAACGCCTACCCCTCATGCAGGAACCTGATTAAGAAACCCTGGCCCTAGAACCCCCAAAATAGTAGGATTCATATAATGAAGGCCCAACGTTTCTTAATCAGGCTCCTACATTACCAAATTTGAATTAAAAGTTCACCGATGTCTCCTTGCCAATCCGCACGAGGAGGCCGCCCCGCTGCAGGCCTCCTACCACTTCCCAAATTGGTCCCATCCGCCTTTAAGGGTTCCCTTTATGGGTCTACAGTGGGGTTTTGGGCCTTAGGGTTTTCAGGTGTTTTAGGGTTTTGGGTATGCCTTTAAGGGTTCAAGAGTTCTACCTGGTCTACAGCATCCAGGGTTCTACGGGTCTTCCTGGGTTCAGGCTTAAGCGTGTCTGCAGGGGGTTCAGAGTTGACGGACTTAGGGTTTAGGGTTTAGGGGTTAAGGTTTAGGGTTTAGTGTTTAGGGTTTAGGATGGTTTCTATGGAGTTCAGGTTTAGGGCTCAGGCCTTCAAGTTTTCTATAGGCTAGGGCGCCGGCTTCTATGCTTTTGTTGAGGGTGGCTTAGGGCTTTGTGGTTGAGGGTATCAGGCTTATGGAAACAGGCTTCATTGATTCAGGCATTTTGGGGTGTCAAGGTGATGATGTCGAAAGTCCGCACGGAAGTTTGAGGTCTGTCTTCCACACTTGCGAGCCAATGGCTCGAGGCAAAAGAAGGATTCAGAGATGCGTTTAGCCACTAACCCTGAACCAAATGATACAGCGTCTCCAGGATTGGAAAGGGGTTTGGGTTGATTTAACGACATTTAAGGAACCTCAGGAATAGTTTGGCTGACTATTCCGGCTTCTAGGTTAAGACAATTCAACAGGGTCAAAAACCAACCAGCCCGAATCGTCCAGTCCGGGCTAGTACAAAGCTACAAGTAGTTCACGCTTGCTATTATCTGGCAATTGGATTGCTTATTCAAGGTTTTTGCCTTCATCGATGATAGATCGGCCCTGGCTTGGCAGTCTTTTCAACGCCGCAATGAAAATCCTGTTCAGGATTCTGTTGCCTTCTGCAAGGTTCAGTGCACTGAAGCTAAAGACGAACATCTGCGCATAAGCAATCGAGATGAGTCTTCAAAGGCGAAGTCGCTCGAAGACCGGTGGCAAGCGCCATGTCCTAGAATTCAGGGTAAGGTCTAGCCTCCCTATACCTTAGACCCTAAAGCCTAAACCCCATACCGTCGGAACGAGCGGCGACCAATCGCCAAAAAAAGCGTTCTTCGCCTGTGGTCTCTCTTGGCCTAAAGGGCCTAAATCCTAAAGGCGGTCCACATGCCAGCTTCGACAGCCCACCCTTAAGTTTGGAGTCACAGTGTTTTCGTACCAGATAGCACACATGTGACAAGAACCTATCTGGCATGTGGACTAGTTCACACACACCCAACGTGAGCCAGATTTTGCATGGCAACTTCTTCAGTTATAGACGGCCACCTAGGCGGCTTAGAAGGGAACCGTGGCAATGGAACAGCTCCTGCCCACCGGAAAATTTGACATGAACCCAGGCCTCTAAGAGCAGATCCCTTCAATGGCTTCCGTTGCCTTACAACCGTACCCAACCGGTGCTTCCACCCACGCGATCCTCCCGAGCATCTCACATGGTAGGTGACAAAAGAGTGAACCCTGAACCCTCAGTCTCTGCTAGGTTTTTGGGGTATACCGTACGCCGTAATTATCACAAGGGGCCTGAAGGGGAAACTATTACGATTACACTGTCGGGCATTTTACAGTCTGGTTAAGTTGCTGGGCACCGAATCGGCCTCAATCGCGCGTGCCTTCGGTTGTGTATGAAGCTTTTGGGGTTGAAGGGCAACATGTTTCGGGATTGAGGCTTAGGGTTCATTCAGGGTCGACGGTCGGCGTATCAGGCTTTGTCATTTCTGGCTCAGGGCTATAGGGTTCGAGGTCTAGGGGTTTAGGGGTTTAGAGTTCAGGGCTTAGGGTTTACATTTGGGGCTTCGGCCTGCTATCTCCTTAATTTCTTGCCTAGCTCCGTTGGATGCCTATGGGGCGGACACTTCAGCTCGATGATCTCGAGCTCAGCTGTCGCAGAGGACTTTGCCTGCGCGCGACGGCGCTTTCAAGCCTGCGTCCACCTTTAGCCCTAAACACGAAAGTCTCGACCCCTTGCCATAAACCCTAAAAGAAGCCCGAAACCCTCAACCTGAACCCCAATCCCCAAGCCCAAAAGCAAACCTAAACCCCAAACCCAATACATTCTGGCACGTACACCTTAAGACTTCTTCGGAAGCTTCATACCAGTTTCTCTTGCAGAACTCCACTGAAGTAGGCCTCAACCGAATCCACAACTTCGTTTGAGATGTAGGGCCTTTTGGGTTCGGGGTTTGGTTTAGGGTTTAAGGGTGAGGGCCCCTTAATCAAGCGACTTCCCAAATCTGAACCCCTAAATCCTAAACTTGCTAAAGCATGTGGTAGTAGTCGTCGTAGTCGTGGTGGTAGTGGCAGTGCTGGTAGTGGTGGTGGTAGTAGAAGGAGTAGTAGGAGGAGGAGGAGGAGGAGGAGGAGGAGCGGTAGTAGTCGCAGCAGTAGTCGTCGTCGTCGTAGCGGTAGCACAAGCTGCAGGACAAGTAGGAAAGTTGGAGCAGCAGTATGAGCCGGAGCAGCAGCAGCATTAGCGCTCGCAGCAGCAGAAGTAGAATAAGAAGTAGCTCTTGCTACCAGTACTGCAAGTGCCGAGTAGGAAAATTCCTAATCAACTCGCAACATACCAAGGACGAAGCGCAATCAGGAAAGCACCTTGACCATCACCACCAGAGTATTGAACAACAGGGCTTTTGTTGTACCAGAGCTGTATTCGACCAAAATGGGCTCCGCCTGCTTGCCGTCGTCCGGGCTTCTGCCTGGAAAGCAAGCCGGGACGTTAAGGGCTTGATAAACCCTTACAGTAACGTTCGCAGATCCCTCCAAAGAACCCGTAAAGAACCCTAAAATTCTGGTCTTATGGCTTGGGGCTTCGTTCACCTTGAAAGCCTTCAAACCTGAACCCAATCAAAAGAAGTCCCCTAATTCCAAGATGCTCAATCCACAGCCCTAGAGCTTAAACCCTCAACCATCTTCTCAAAGTCCTCCGGCCACAATCTGCAACCCTAAACCCCAGGATTTCAGGCTGTAAGTTTTGGGGTTTGTGATTCAACTAAACACGGACTGGGACTGATTTCGTAATTGCATAATCCCCGTGTGCGAATGTACGACAGCAAAGCGCTGGTTCCGTAATTATGGTTCTTTTTGTTAAATCTGCGTCAGGTTGAAATACCGCTTTGTCAACATGGGGCTGCCGGCAGAGGATTGTCTGAGCAGTGGCACAAGGGTTTGAGAAAGCAGGACTTTGCAGGTTTGCTTTGCATGATATTGTGTTCAATTGTTTATGTCTATTTGAATTCATACTTATATCTATCTATATATATATATATATTATTTGTAGAATATCAACCATGAAAGGGACGACAACAGCAGCAGCAGCAACAACAACAACAACAACAAAACCCGAGTTGTACGGAATCAAATTGCACATACCTTACAATTCGAGCATGGTTTTGGGGTATATAGCACTATAACTAGATCGGTAACAAAGCGGAATGTATACCTGTCTACGTATGTATATACATATATATTTACTTCGTATTCAAAACCCCTCGTGAAACCCTATACAACCCTATAACCCCTTCGAGTAACCTAAAAGGGGCGTTGGTGATATGACTACGTACATTCAGAGCGTATAACCTGGGCAGGCAGCCCGCCTCACTTCTTCTTCTTCTCCTGCCATGCTGGGAGAGCTGGAGGTTTAGAGACTAAGGCGGTTAAAGGTTTAGGGTCTCAAGTTTAGGGTATTTGGGGTTCTGGTTTTGAAGATTAAGATTCGGCAAATTCCTCATGCCCCCGAAACCCCTCGCTTGTGCCCGTCGCTCGTGGCCCTGTGCTTGTTGTTGTTCAGTTCACTCGCCCATGGCTTTGCGGCTGGATTTCTGCTGGGTTCACTCCTCAAGGTTTTCGTCTCGTTGGCTATTCGGAACCCTGTGCAGGGTTTCGAACTGGGTTTACTACTCAGGGTTTCCCGAAATCGAGGAAGAAGCTACGCACATAGCCTTTCCAGCAAGTAGTGCGGAAACATGCTCGACGGCCGACTTGTCCTTGCCTGTTCAGATCTGTTTGAATCTGCTTGGGCTCAAGGTTATTGTCTTTTCCTTTTGAGGAGGGGTCTTCAGGTTTGGGGTATGAGGAAACCCTGAACCCTAAACCCTGAATCCTGAACTCTAAACCCCCAAACCCTAAACCCTAAACATTATAATTTGTACCCTAAACCGTAAACCCTAAACCTTAAACCTTATGCCCTAAGCCGTAAACCGCAAACCGTAAACCTTATACCCTAAAGGCTGCATCGCTGAAGGCTGCAAGGTGAAGCTTCGCCGGGGGAACGATAGGCTCGGCCAAGAAGGCATGCTCTGGCTCAGCCACTTCCTTGGGTTTAGGGTTTAGGGCCTTGTACAGGGTTCAAGGTTCAGGTTTTCTGGCTCAGGGTTTAGGATTCAGGGCTTGGGAATCAGGGGTTAGGGTTCAGGGTTTAGGATTCAGGGTTTGAGGCTTAGGGTTCAGTGTTTAGGGCTGCGGGTTTACGGTCTCGTAACAGTGCATGTTGAAGCATGAAAGGTCTGGGCACGTTTCGGCTTTCTTCCGTTGAAGTCACCGGTCCTTGAGGGTTCTGGGTATTAGGGTGTTCCGCTTTGAAGCGGGGTCGGTGGCGTTGGCAAGTTGGGGTATACGCGATAGATGGTGTTCTACCGGGCTTGGTGGGGTTTAGGGTTTAGGGTTTAAACCGCCCCGGCCCCTTCATCGCATACGCGTTTTGTGGGGTCTAATCTCTGCTTCGCAACTGTTTCGAGGTATGCTTAGGCTTTAAGGTTGATTTCCTTTTGCTAAGCACCGTATCTTTCCGTGCATTCTGAGCAGGTCTAAGGGCATCCTCTCGATGGTCTAGGGCCTGTTTAGGGCGTAATTTAAGTTTGAAGCTTTAGGGTTTGGGGCTTGAAGTTTAGAGCGTTTAGGGTCTAAAGCTTTGGGCCCTGGCTCCGTAAACCCTTGTCTAGACACTGAAGCCCTGAAACCCTTAACCCATCAAGCAAAAGTCGCAAATCGAAGCTAAGACTCTGAGGAACCGACACCCTCGACGGCATCCACGCTGCCCGATTCCATCGTGCCCTTCCAGCGTTCACGGTCCCACTTCACACCTAAACGGCTAGCCTGAAAACCCGTCCAATTCCCGCTTCGCACGTACATCTCACCACACTGCAGGCTTCGTGTCCGATGTGACGGTTAACATCATTGCAAAATGGACGTACCTCTCATGAACCCTACTATAAAACTGCGGTGGCAATGGAAATTGATAGTATGAGGACCGGATACTCAAAATAGCCTTGTCGGATATGTTGTAGTAGAACTACATCAAGGAACCCGAAAGGCAGTACTACGATTTTCAGGCACTGCTGGAATAGCGTACGACAAGAGCAGCCCCAGACATTGCTGCCGGTGCAGCAATAATGTGGAGTCTACCTCAAAAGTTTCCGCCGCAGCAAACATTTCGCCCTGCAGCACCTAAAGTGGGGCCTGAATCGTCCTGACATGTAGTGTACTGTAGGTACATCGAGGAATCTTCAGAAACCTGTACAACCCTAAACCAGGCATGCAAAGACTCAACATGTCGTTGCGACAGGCGAGCTTCCCTCATAGGCTGAACCCAGAAAATCCTACATCTTCTTTGTCACACCGCTGTACCACCAAGGCCCCGGCGTCATCCACCACGCCCTGCGGATGACAGCATGGTCTACTTGCGCTTGCTAGAGGGTTCATCGAACGGACTGCTTGCAATAAGGCCCCGGCGCCCTCCACGGTGCCAGAATCCACCATGCCCTGCCAGCATGCAGCGGCACAAGAGCCCTTCTCTCTGGGCTGGCATCTTCATGTCTGATGTGCTAGGTGTGCCATTTGCGACATGCGTACATACCTCTCTTGTATGCCGGTGCAAGATCAGAGCGGGTGGACCACCGGAGATGTGTTGTTCTATGGCGGGTCTGCTCTAGTCTATTGCATGGCCGTATCCCTCAGCCGACCAGACACGACCAGAATGATGCAAAGGTGCGAGACAGGGGATCTTCTCTCCGCGGCTCGACTTCAGCCGATCCCGGCAAACCCTACACCCGAGTTGCTCGAACTTCAACCGCTTAGAGCTCTGACACCACATATCTGTAACCTCCAAACTCTAAGCTGACCCGGAGCAGATGCATTCAGCTGGCGTCGAAAGGACCCAATTCCCAAAGAATGGCCGAAGCTTCGATTCAACCCGAAGCTTCAACTTCAGCTCCATCTCCAGAGACGCGGGAATGAAGAGGTTTGTGCCTCTATAATTTCGTAGAGCCAAAACATTTCGGATCATTCCCGCCTCTGTAAGAGCTCAGCTGAGTTGGGCTTGGGGACATTTCAGGGTTTAGGGTTTAGAGATATCAGTGCTGCCAGCCGCGCTTGGAGAGAAGTGCCGGCACATGCGGTTTAGGTTGTGTTGAGCGATTTTTTCATGTGTCTTTAAGGTTGAGGGTGGACGGTGTTCTGGTTCAGGGCTTTAGGTCTCGGGTGGCAGCGCTGTGGGGTCTCGTGTATCCGCTATCGCCGAGGCCACGGCATCGTCAACGAACTGCGACACATCAGCAGGACCCTTTCCGTTCACGAAGTCCTGACAAAGTAGAAGTGCACTGCGAATTTCAGGCTTTAGGCTGCGGGTCTCGAGGGAAGGGGGTATGGGGGGGATGTACAATTTCGAGGGTGGAGGTCGGGGATTGAGGGTTTAAGGCTGGCTCATACTGGCTCATACGCAAACTCGACGATGGAATCTTGTGTCGAAGCCACCTCATCGCCAACGACGTCCGACACATCAGCCGGGCCCACACCGTTCACGAAGCCCTGACAAAGCAGAACTGCACAGGTCGTTTCAAGGATCTCGAGAAATCGTTCGAGTCTGGACTCAACTTGCAAACACGACGATCGAACTGCATCGACTCCGTTTCGCTGAGGCCGCGGCATCGTCAACGAATCCGGAGTCCTTGCGGAATAGGCTTTCGTGATCCTCAACCCGAAACCTCATCAAGGGCAGTATTCTCTTCCAAGATCAGAACCTCATATAGCCAGTTATGAGGGCACGAAGCCCAAAATGCCTGTAAGTGCTGCCTCCCAACCTCCGGGCATTATGCTGGGGTTTAGGGTTCAGGGTTGTAGGGTCTAGGGTGTAAGCCCGGGGGTTTAAGGATTCACGGACTAACACGAAACTCCACGCCAAAAACCATAGCCCTATAACACAGATCCGAAAACCCGAAACCCCATAGTCTGGGTTGCCGTGCCACATCGGCTGGACGCTTTCCGTTCAAGAAGCCCTGAGGAGCAAACTACATTGGTACACTTCAAAGCTAGGTTTAGGGTTTGGATATCTTCGGGTTCTGGGTAGTTTCAGCTTTGATCCGGGGTCGAGGGCGCGGTCCTTCCGATCTTACATGCTACAGAAGTCTCCAGAAACTTTTACAAGTTCTCCAAAACATTAACGAAGTAGTGGAGCAAAAAGTTGTTCTCCTCTGGCTTTTGTTCCGCTTTCTCCTTCATCGCTCTAACTGCTAAGGAAGATTTTGCAGCAACATGAGTGACCCGCAGGTGGTGGCGAAACACAAAGCCTGTGCAGATGATCCGAACCGGATTCTTGCTGGTGAGTGCAGTCAAACTGCAACTACAGAATAGAACTGACTAAATGTGAAAAGCGTTGAGGGTTTAGCGCTGACTCCATATGCAAGCTCGACGATGGAATTTGCGTCGAAGCCACCTCATCGCCAACGACGTCCGACACATCAGCCGGGCCCACACCGTTCACGAAGCCCTGGCAAAGCAGAACTGCACGGGTCGTTTCAAGGATCTCGAGAAGTCGTTCGAGTCTGGACTCAACTTGCAAACACGACGATCGAACTGCATCGACTCCGTTTCGCTGAGGCCGCGGCATCGTCAACGAATCCGGAGTCCTTGCGGAATAGGTTTTCGTGATCCTCAACCCGAAACCTCATCAAGGGCAGTATTCTCTTCCAAGATCAGAACCTCATATAGCCAGTTATGAGGGCACGAAGCCCAAAATGCCTGTAAGTGCTGCCTCCCAACCTCCGGGCATTATGCTGGGGTTTAGGGTTCAGGGTTGTAGGGTCTAGGGTGTAAGCCCGGGGGTTTAAGGATTCACGGACTAACACGAAACTCCACGCCAAAAACCATAGCCCTATAACACAGATCCGAAAACCCGAAACCCCATAGTCTGGGTTGCCGTGCCACATCGGCTGGACGCTTTCCGTTCAAGAAGCCCTGAGGAGCAAACTACATTGGTACACTTCAAAGCTAGGTTTAGGGTTTGGATATCTTCGGGTTCTGGGTAGTTTCAGCTTTGATCCGGGGTCGGGGGCGCGGTCCTTCCGATCTTACATGCTACAGAAGTCTCCAGAAACTTTTACAAGTTCTCCAAAACATTAACGAAGTAGTGGAGCAAAAAGTTGTTCTCCTCTGGCTTTTGTTCCGCTTTCTCCTTCATCGCTCTAACTGCTAAGGAAGATTTTGCAGCAACATGAGTGACCCGCAGGTGGTGGCGAAACACAAAGCCTGTGCAGATGATCCGAACCGGATTCTTGCTGGTGAGTGCAGTCAAACTGCAACTACAGAATAGAACTGACTAAATGTGAAAAGCGTTGAGGGTTTAGCGCTGACTCCATATGCAAGCTCGACGATGGAATTTGCGTCGAAGCCACCTCATCGCCAACGACGTCCGACACATCAGCCGGGCCCACACCGTTCACGAAGCCCTGGCAAAGCAGAACTGCACGGGTCGTTTCAAGGATCTCGAGAAGTCGTTCGAGTCTGGACTCAACTTGCAAACACGACGATCGAACTGCATCGACTCCGTTTCGCTGAGGCCGCGGCATCGTCAACGAATCCGGAGTCCTTGCGGAATAGGTTTTCGTGATCCTCAACCCGAAACCTCATCAAGGGCAGTATTCTCTTCCAAGATCAGAACCTCATATAGCCAGTTATGAGGGCACGAAGCCCAAAATGCCTGTAAGTGCTGCCTCCCAACCTCCGGGCATTATGCTGGGGTTTAGGGTTCAGGGTTGTAGGGTCTAGGGTGTAAGCCCGGGGGTTTAAGGATTCACGGACTAACACGAAACTCCACGCCAAAAACCATAGCCCTATAACACAGATCCGAAAACCCGAAACCCCATAGTCTGGGTTGCCGTGCCACATCGGCTGGACGCTTTCCGTTCAAGAAGCCCTGAGAAGCAAACTACATTGGTACACTTCAAAGCTAGGTTTAGGGTTTGGATATCTTCGGGTTCTGGGTAGTTTCAGCTTTGATCCGGGGTCGAGGGCGCGGTCCTTCCGATCTTACATGCTACAGAAGTCTCCAGAAACTTTTACAAGTTCTCCAAAACATTAACCGAAGTAGTGGAGCTAAAAGTTTTCTCCTCTGGCTGTTGTTCCGCTTTCTCCTTCATCGCTCTAACTGCTAAGGAAGAGTTCGCAGCCACATGAGTGACCCGCAAGTGGTGGCGAAACACAAAGCCTGTGCAGATGATCCAAACCGGATTCTCACTGGTGAGTGCAGTCAAACTGCAACTATATACATATATGTATGTATACAAACGCACACACAGACATACACGTAAATGTACATACGTTTTATATAGGTATATAATTAGATAGTTATCAAGTTATAGAGTTATACGGCTATATATATATATATATATATATATGTATATATGCACACATATACATATACATGCCTAAGCGCAATCGCATACACACACACACATATATATATATATATATATATATATACGAGTACATATACACATGCATATACATAAACATATGCATATGCATATACAAATACCAAAACAAATACATATACATGTACATCTACATCTACCCCTACATCTACATCTACATCTACAACTACATGTACATATACATATACACATGCATAGACATATACATATACCTTTACAGATACAAATACATATACGTACATACACACACTTTTTCTATGCGAGTAATATGCTTTAGGAGCCGTAACAAAACCGGTGTCAAACGAGCCACCTTATGAGGCCGTCGAAAGCCCTGTGCATATCCCATGTTTTTCTTGACAAGGACCACAACCCCTAAACAGAATCTCGCTCTCTCTTTTGCTCCCGATGAGAACCACGTGCACCACGTACCGGCGAGGCATTTACATCTCGCAAGAAATGCAAGCCGCTACCGAAAATCAAGATAGCAGCTGCAGGTGCCACTTCCCAATGGATACCAAAAGGGCGGGCGGGCGGGCAGCTTGAGAGGAAGTCGCGGCCGTTTCAAGCTCGATTCTATAAATCAGAATCTCGCTCTCTCTTTTGCTCCCGATGAGAACCACGTGCACCACGTACCGGCGAGGCATTTACATCTCGCAAGAAATGCAAGCCGCTACCGAAAATCAAGATAGCAGCTGCAGGTGCCACTTCCCATAATTCCCATCCCGACCTAGTCGCCAGTGCACGTGGCAACACTTTGGTGTTTCCAAAGGAGAAACCAGGTACCAGTGGGAACGCTCGCCTGAGTCCACTGGCAGGCCTGCTTCAGCAAGTCTGGGAAGCACGAGGCTGCCTCAAGTACTTTGCGTTTTGCTGCTGGGGCCAATCCTGGGTAAAAAGTAGAAGCCGCTATTTCTTGAAGGTACACCTCCATGACTTTGTGACTCACCCAACGGCCCCGGCGACGGACGAGCTCGGCGTCCTCTGTCGCTTGAAGCAAGTAGGTGGCGCCACCGGGTCTGAAAGAACCAAGATCTAGAGGCCGCTCCTCTTTCCTGGCCGTTGGGATGAGGAGCGCCTCTAGAATTGTATCCAGACGCCTCCTGAGCGTCTGAGCCGAATAGGGCCAGAGCCTGCTACTCGGCTGCAGACGCGAGAAAGCGATGTCGGCCAAAGTGACCAGGTCCGAAGCCTCCAGTTTCGCAGCCTGGTGCCTTGCAGCACGAAATCGCGTCTTCGGTTCAGCGATGCTAAGCAAGACGAAGTCCTGAGACCAGAGCACGTCCCTTGGCAGCACAAGTGTGGCCCTGGTAGCATTTATCGCTTCCCCTATTCTCAACAAAGCGCCCCAAGCCAAGCCAAAAACTCCAGCTTCAGTTCTCCATCCCCAAAGGAGAGATACAGAGAGTACCGCGAGGAGGATGATGGCAGGCATAGCAACATGGTGGGTATGAGGCTCCAAAGCCATCCATGCAAAGGCAACGTCCCAGGCCCCTTGAAGCTGCCTCCTGATGGCGGGCCGCTTTGCTGCCAAAGCATTTATCGTCTCCGAGAGATGCCAGTAGGGGTAGCCAGCCTCGAAAAGTTCCCGACCAAACTTCGCGAGCGCCTTGGAGAGCTCCTCGGCGGGCCACTCGTAAACAGCATTCTCCTCGAAACCTGCCTCACCCAGCCAGCTGACGAAGGCGACTAGTAAGGCAGACCTGTTCTTCGAAGTCTGCTGAAGGACCGGCCGGCCTTCAGGCAGGGCTTGGTCTAGTCTTGCTCTTTGCCGGGTGGCGTCCTGCTTGTGCCTCGGGGCGAGCGGCCCTTCACCTGGGTAACCTAGGGTCTGATCGAAGTCCAAGGCTGAAGCGTGGCGGCTGGAGGCGGCCGGCACATGAGGCACACTAGGGGGGAACTGGGCTCTAAGGGGTTCCCTTAGGGTAACGAGAAGGCCTAGGAGCTCGGACTTAGAAACCCGAAAGGAGAGGACTAGGGAAAGCCTAACCCAGCCAGCAGAGGCTTTGGAAAGGGCGCACAGCCCCAACGCAATATGAAGCTCATCCGGCTCGAGCTCTTCAGTGATGCATTGGCCCTGCGGCGGGCGCAAATCAACGCTTCGGCTCGGATCGTCAGCAACATTTAACCGGGTGGGGGCGTGGGCCAAGCCCAAGTAGACACCACCCCCTACCAGCGTAGCGCACATGCGGAGGAGCACCGGGCGCAGCAAACGGGAGGATGACCGCCCCTTAGAGATCGCACCCCTAGCGACGGAGGAATCAAGCAGAAGGGTGGTCTTCCGGTCACCTCCTCTTTTCGTGATGTGCCTGACAGTGCGCACCGCTGCCTGCGTCTCTAATACGTTGATGTGAGCGGCCTGCCTCCAACGCCAAGAGGCCTCAACGACCCAAGAGGCCGATGACAGAATGTCATTGATGACGAAGCTCTCGAGCCCAGGCCTTTTGGCATCAGGCGGGTCCCCACTGGGCGGGGCCTTCGGCAGAGCAAATGCCAGCAAACTCGCGAGCCACGAGGCAAAGGCCGGAGGGCCAGCGGGACAGGTCACCGAATTCCTATCCTGGCTGAAA